TCTTTAACGTGCTTTTTAATTGTCTACTGGTAAAATTCTTGTTTTTGCGATGCTTTTGGATGTTAACTTGCTCTACTTTTTGTTTAACTTGTCGTTTTTGTGTTCGGTAAGGTTCGAATTACTTTTCAGCGTTCAAATTATTGTTATTGCGTTAGGTTAACCTGTTAGGTTTGTTTATTATTGTTTTTGTGTTCCGTTAACTTGTTTTGTTTGTGTTTTAGATTGTATAGTGCCATTTGCATTTATTAAAATGCGGTGTGGCATATTTGGATGCAATTCGGACAACCAGTCCAAGAAGAACCCTTTAAATAAAAACATTAAATTTAATCGATTCGCGAAAAAGTTTGATTTGTGGAAACAGTGTTTAAATGCCACAAAAATAATAGACAATATTTACGTTAAGACCGCTTCTGTTTCCTATAAACATTTTCTGGACAGTAACTATAAGTTTAATTTAAAACACCAATGCTTAAACTACAGCCCTAAATGTTATCAAGGACTGAAAGCATTTATTATCCATATTATAACACTTTCTTCAATATTAAGTTTAATAAAAACGCACTATGTCCAGAAATGTCTCTATTTTCTTTGATAATATTACTATTATTCGTGTATTCGCACGGCAACTACTCATCAAGTGACGTCATGCGCGGGACGAACCAAAACTCGTACACGGGAGCATCCAGCCCTGATGGTGAGTGAAGCAAAAAGAACGCGCACATTTGCAAATTTTACCGATGTGAGCTGAGATTAACTGAGATCTCAGGCGAAAAGAACGCACCTATAATTAAATGAATATTCCTTTATCTAGTTTTATAGTGACAATTACATGAAATCGTCAAATTATGACGATAATTGGTTGGGTTGGTTCCATTTTTATTAATAAATATAACAACACAAGATCAGAATTGAAGAGGTCTTAAAATACGAATTTACCGGTCGTCTTATTGTAGGGCAATTCTGGATTCCTCCGAAAATAAGACATTTAGACAGTTTTGATGCTTCGAATATCAATACCAAACCTATTTTGCACTAAAAGATATTAATTCCCCCTTTCGTCCCACGTAAAGTCTCGTTTGCCAGACATTGCATATAGGCAATACAATATGCGGTAAATTGTTGGAGGTAAATTGTTTTTGCGATAAATTACTGGCGGTAAACAGGTGCCGCTTTAAATTGGTAACGGTGTATGGCTGGCGATAAATTTTCCTAGGCCCAGTTTCAACATAATCAAATCAATTTATATTAAAATTGGGATATTTAATGCAAATTTTTAATATTGCATAATTTATTGAATGCTTAACGAAAACTAACAAATTTTTTGTCATTTTTTCGTTAAAATTCTCTATTTGTATTTTCATAAAATTATTTGCAAATTTACGAGAAATAAATGGGCGACTTTTGGACTAAAATATTAGTCAAATTTTAGTCAACAAAATTATAATTTTTTGCTAGATTTGATTAATAAAAGAACGAAAATTTCCAATGGCAAACAACGTACAAAATACTACACTCAAATTTTCGATGAATTTCAATCGCAAATAACTTTTTTATTTGATTTCGGATTTACACAAATATTAAAGAATATTGTAGATACATTAATGGAGAATCGCTCACATTTTAAAAATTACTAAAAAATACACGTACGTTTATAATATACAGGTTTAAACAAAAAGATGTTTTTTACCATAAGTTTAAGACACTCTGTAGAGTGGCAAAACCGTATATTCTTCTAAATTAGGTTTTAATTATCAAGTCACATCTATTTTTAACAGTTTTGTTTTTGGTTCACCTTGATATATTTATTTTTGTGGAAAAAATTAATTTAAAAAAAAACATTGCAATTTCAAATATTTTTTCTGTATGAAGAACTAAGGTTGCTATGGTCCATCCATAGCCTATGGAGGATGACAGTGACAGTTTTGTTGAATCATCCCATACTTGGACATGTCATATATAGCTTTCAAAAGCTATCAAATTGTTTTTTGTAAATTAATGTGTTAATTTTGAGGTGTCTTCTTACTTTTAAAAATGTCTCCGACTGATGTTGCCCTTTGTACTTTACTTCTTGTGACGTTTAAAACACTTGCCACGTAATACTGTGACCGTCCATCCTGGATTAAATTAATGGCTCTGGCAACATCAGTCGGAGATATATACATTTTTTAAAGTAGGAAGACCCCTCAAAATTTAAACATTAATTTGCAAAAAACAAATTGATAGCTTTTGAAAGCCGTGTATGACATGTCCAAGTATGGGATGATTCAACAAAACTGTCACTGTCATCCTCCATAGGCTATGGATGGACCATAGCAACCTTAGTTCTTTATACAGAAAAATATTGGAAATTGCAATGTTTTTTTTTAAATCCATATTTTCCACAAAAATAAATATATCGAGGTGAAACAAAAACAAAACTGTTAAGAATAGATGTGACTTGATAAATAAAACTTAATTTAGAACATTATACGGTTTTGTCACTCTACAGAGTGTCTTAAACTTATGGTAAAAAACATCTTTTTGTTTAAACCTGTATATTAAAAACGTACGTCTATTCTTTAGTAATTTTTTAAAATGTGAGCGATTGTCCATTAATTTATCTATATTATTCTTTAATATTCGTTTAAATCCTACATCAAATAAAAAAGTTATTTGCGATTGAAATTCATCGAAAATTTGTGTGGATGGATTATTTTGCCTGTGAGTGTATTTTGAAAATAGGCATATGGTACTATGTATGTTGTAATAACATAAAACGTAAAAAGGTAAAAAAAAAAAGAAAAAAAAGATGTTTTTTAGGCATATGGTACTTTGTAATACACAAAATATAAAATTTTAAAACGATATTTTGTATGATTGCTTTATTTTTTCCTCGATTTTTTCTGTGTTGGGAAAATATAAAAAATCCCAAAACCATATTTAACTTAAACTCACAAATTTTCTTTGTGACATTTTAACCAACAAATTTATTGTCAAATTCTCAATTTGTATTTTTTATAAAATTATTGGCTAATTTACGGAAATAAATGGGCGAATTTTTTACTAAAATATTAGTCAAATTTTAGTCAAAAAAATTCCAATTTTTTGCTTGATTTGATTAATAAAATAAAGTAAATTCCCAATGGCAAACAACGTTCAAAATATGGTACTATGTATGTTGTAAAAACATAAAACGTAAAAAAGCTAAAAGAAGTTAAAAACCCAAATGGTTTTTTACGAAATATCCCTATTATCCACATTCATATTAAATTTTAAATCGATATATTTTGTATGATTACTTCACTCGTTAAATTTAAAAAATCATAAGAAAACCATATTTAACTTAAACTCAGGCCCGTTCCTGGGGTGTCTGGCGCCTGCGTGCAGCATTCGTTGGTGCGCCCCTTTTATATTTAAATATAATACATTAAATATTTGAATTTTAAGCCGTAAAATTTAAAAAATATATATTTTGAGACAAACTGGAAATATGTAATTGAAAATGTAAAAAAACCGCTTAAATTAAGTATAAAAAATATTTATTAAATTACCAAACAAACAAGTAATATCATAAGGGCATCTATTTTTTCGAAAAAAATCGAAAAAACACGTTGCTAAGTAATATTTTAACAAGTAGCATGAGTGCTGGTGGCAACAAAAATCCGAGTCGAAGACGAGGATTTTTGCACCTGCACGAATGCATTTTGTTAAAAAATATTACTTAGCATTGTGTTTTAAAGATTTTTTTCACAGGAAAAGATGCCCGAATGGTATTTGACAAGACTATTTCATGAGTAACAGTTAACAATTAAAATATAAATTGCAATTTTTGGTGACAACAGCTGTCAAGTTTTGCCGCGGGTAAACTCGAAAAAACTGCTGACAGGTGCTGTCATACAGTTTTTCCACCTAGAAACCATTTGTAGTTCAAAATGCGCGTTTGTGATTGGTGGAAATTAAGACGAGGGAAATAGTCAGTGATAAAAATACTGTAAAGAAAACAAAAAAAAAAACAATCTAAACAATATAATAACTACAACTGGTTTTTAGTGACGTACTCTATAAAAATGACTAGTTTTCAAAGTAAAAAAGCAGCCACTAATAACTTTAGTCCACAGCAATTTGTATCCCGGGCATTAAACAGCTTATTATTATGTAAAATTGTCCCCTAAATCCGAAAATACCGTCAAAAATTATAAAAGTAAATCAGTTTTTAAGATATAGTCAGTCAATACCATATTATATAAAAAATTTACTAAAACTCAAAAACGTTCTACTTTTATAACTTTTGACAACATTTTCGGATTCAGCGGACAATTTTACATAGGAGTTGACTGCTAAATATCCGGGATACAAATTGCTATTGACAAAAATTATTAGTCGCTGCTTTTTCGCTATTGCAATTGGACTAATTGAATTAGTCATTTTTCACTAATTCTATTTTAGAGAGTTACTACTGTGCTACCGTCAACTGCAAACAAATACTAAAGATAATATGACCATTTCTCTCCTTTTATTTTGATCCTCATATCAAAACAAAATAAGCAGCCAATATCAAAGCGGCAAAAGGCGCTTTATAGCGACCAAAAATTAGATCGGCCGACGCAAAAAAGGCAGAAACCTTTATCCAATGTATGTTTAAGTATCATATGCAAGAAAGTTTATCGTTACAAAGTACTGATTGACTCTTTGATTTTGCGCCCCCGAAATGTTGCGCCTGCGTGCGTGCACGCACTGCACGCTCGCCAGGAACGGGCCTGCTTAAACTTACCAATTTTCTTTGTGACCTTTTTTACTCCGGAATCGAACGATGGCAAACAACGTACAAAATATGGTACTATGTATGTTGTAAAAACATAAAACGTAAAAAAGCTAAAAGAAGTTAAAAAACCCAAATGTTTTTTACGAAATATCCCTATTATACACATTTATATTAAATTTTAAAACGATATAATTTGTATGATTACTTCACTCGTTAAATATAAAAAATCATAAGAAAACCATATTTAACTTAAACTTACCAATTTTCTTTGTGACCTTTTTTACTCCGGAATCGAACGAGGCCCCCAACAACTCCACCTCGACATAGGGACTGGCAGTGCTCTTCTTTGATCTGCACAAATGCCTTCCGGCAATGATCCTAATGGAAACTGTCATCGGCTTTACGTCGCCCATCGTGCTTTTGTCGTGCGGATCGAAATCTGGGTTCAGCATGAAGTCGGGCTTCAGCAGGTAGCCGCAGTAGCCGTTGTCGCGGAATTTCGCCTGATTTAGCTGCATCGGTTTGTCGCCGGTTTGGTAGTTTAGCGCGACCATTTGCGAACCGCAGTTCCACATGTTCATCGGGTTGTAATTTGACGAGTCCATGTGTTGGAAGAATGAGGGATACACCCTCGAAAATTGATGCTAAAATATTTTATAACACTTAATTTTTTCGATACTCAGTGAATGACTATAATTGGCTTATTTTCTTAAAGGTGTGTAACTCATTTAAATCTTAAATAAATGAAAAAAAAACAATTTTCTGTCCTAGATTATCTACGCTAGATATATTCCAGAAATGTATTCTTATGGCTAGATCATTAATAGACTTATATGCTGTCGTCTCTTCTCAATTAATTGAATCAGTAGTAATTCCTTGACTAGGAAAAATAAATGAGTTTTTTCGGCAATATAAATTTCCTTCACTTAATATACAATCAATGTCGATATACATATAATGCATGAGAAAAAGATTTCACACAAACGTATTATACATGCATAGAAAACTGGCATAAAACGAAATTTTTTACAGTGTACTGTTTGGTAATATGGATATGTGAGATGTAAAGTAATAGTATATAACGTTACAAGGTCGAAAATCGACTTTTAACTGTACTAGTTTCTTTATTGACTTATTTAGCTATTCAGTGAAATAAATCGTTAAAAAACTATTATTCCTGAGAATTAAAAATCTTCAAAATTCCTTGTTAGGCATGGTATGGGTGGTATATAAAATAAATAGAATATTTTCTTAGTTTTAAGTGTTTAGTGTTTTTATAAAATTTTAACAACTAAATTTTTTTAACAAGAAACTCGATGTAAAAATCAGCAGGTGGTTATTGAATTGAAAAAACGGTAGGCATTAAAGGTATTAAGTGTAAAAATAAATACTTTACAATAATATCCGTACTACAATAAAAAAATGATAGGATAAATTATTTAAATTTAACTTTTTTTTAGCTAAATAACATGTCATATTAGATCTGCTCCATCAAAAAAGTTTGTTCAAAGGTTTTTATTTAAAAGTAGCTTAGAACATACAATACATGGACATAACTAAAGACCAAAATATATACAACATTAAGGTTAAAATATGCAATAATATACCTACTCATAATAATACTACCTATTTGAAGCTTGTTTACTTCTTCAAATTCTCTAATGTACCATTAGTCCAGTCATCTAGGGATTTCACCTCGGAATCTAACGGAATAAGCTGAATTTTTGTACAAACCTTTATTTTAGCATTGCAAATGTTGTCTCAAAAGTCACATATGCCAACGTGTGAGCGGCCTTAGATATTCAAGGTCAAAGGTCGCAAAAATCAATTTTTTGAGAATATCTCCTTTTCTCTGCCTCCTATCGTATTTGTATTTATTATACAAGTTGTAGAGAATAAAATTCTCTACAAATTTTGTTTAAAACATTTTTTTATACGTCTAATTGTTTTTGAGATAGAGGGCGCAGAGTGTGGAGCGCTCAGCCATACGTACCTTTAGCGCAAGGTAAATCATGAATCCCAATCTATTATACCGTTTTTTTTAATTAATTATTTATTAAATATTACTTAAATAACAATTTAATACCTTATATTTATTTTTATATATTTTTTTTAAACAAATAGTCATTAAATATAACTTACTTTTTACATACAAATAATTAAATAATGAAGTGAATCATTCCAAATATATTCTAATGTTATTCTAATTAATGGTAAATGCATTTTAAGAAGAAAATACATTAAATGAATTTGTCTTGAATATGTCTCTGGTCATCTCTTGGATCCAGATATTGCTTTTAAAATAACAGACCTGGAATACTATAGTGGGCTTGCTATAAATAAAAAGGTTAGGTATACCTATACATACCTAAAGCAAGTTGTGATACAAGTTGGTATAGGTCTAGGGTTGTGACAGGTAATATTCGTAATATTTTAAAGGTTAACATGGCTGATTTGTGTTTTATTTGTAATAAGTTACTTTCTGAAGGTGATTCTGTGACTTTTGTGCGCGGTATAAAGACTTTAAAAGAAGCAATTATTGAGAGAAATAAACATAAACTATCTAAATACTTTGACTTCTGTGAACGTTCATATTGAGTGTCGAAAATTGTACGCTAAAGCGTACTATAGTAAAATTGCAGCAGCAAAACGACGCCTTGAAGAGACTGGACCTTCAACGTCATCAACTGTACCTCGTAAAAAAGGGAATGATATGTTTGATTTTAAAATATTGTGCTTATTTTGTGGTGAAGTCGCAGATGAGGCAACAAAGGCAAAAAAAGTACAAACGCGTTATAAGTAAGTTTTTGAAGATATGACAATTAATGTCAATGATAACGGGTAGAGTGTTGATGAGAATGAGTCTGAAATTGCTGGCCAACCTGAAGAAGACGAGGATGAAGAAGATAAAGATTATTAATCATAATAATATTAATAATATTGACATAAATAAAAACATTTTTTCCTACTCCGATCCAATTATCCTTCATTAAAATTAAATTAAAATATAAGATATATATGAAGATAAAATATATTTGATTTAAAAGAAATATAAGTATAAGGTATTAAATTTTTTTTAGTAATATTTATTATATAATTAATTAAAAAAACGGTATAATAGGAGGTTCACGATTTACCTTGCGCTAAAGGTACGTATGGCTGAGCGCTCCACACTCTGCGCCCTCTATCTCAAAAACGGTTCGAGGTATAAAAAAATTTTGTAAACAAAATTTGTAGAGAATTTTATTTTCTACAACTTTTATAATAAATGCAAATATGATAGGAGGTAGAGAAAACGAGATATTCTCAAAAAACTGATTTTTGCGACCTTTGACCTTGAATATCTAAGGCCGCTCACATGTTGGCATATGTGACTTTTGAGACAACATTTGTAATGCTAAAATAAAGGTTGTCACAAAAATTCAGCTTAATCCGTTAGATTCCGAGGTTGATCCCCTTTTTTGACTAAGATGACTGTACTACATTGGTTTCTATCTGTTTAAAGTTTTTGTACTTCAAACATTTTTAGGGTATTTTAGACCCCTTTTTACCATATCACAGGTTGTCACAAAGTCTTGAACCCCTCAAAAGTTACGTCATACTTTTTTAATTTGTTGTTTGTTTTTTTCATACATTTTATTATTTCGACATCTAAATATTTTTACATGTTTGGTAGGGTGGGCCGAAAATCCGCTTTTTTAGAATTTCGTTTAGTAATAGCAAAAATTTTGTTCATTATGTTGTAAAAAAATTTTGTGTAAAAGATTAAAATTTTCGATCAACATCCTAGGCTCGCCCAACGCAATTAAAGATCAAAATGTTCAAAAAAATGTTGATACTAAAATCGGGTTTATTTCTGAAACTATCCATCTGAAGTAATTTTGTGTAAGGACCTTTTTTGAAGAGCATAAAATTTCCGATCAAAATAAGTTAAGAATTTTTTTTTGAATATTTTGATCTTTAATTGCGTTGGGCGAGCCTAGGATGTTGATCGAAAATTTTAATCTTTTACACAAAATTTTTTTACAACATAATGAACAAATTTCTGAAACTATCTATCTGAAGTTATTTTGTGTAAGGACCTTTTTTGTAGAGCATAAAATTTCCGATCGACATAAGTTAAGAACAAATTTTTTTGAACATTTTGATCTTTAATTGCGTTGGGCGAGCCTTGATCGAAAATTTTAATCTTTTACAGAAATTTTTTTTACAACATAATAAACAAAATTTTTGCTATTACTAAACGAAATTCTAAAAAAGCGGATTTTCGGCCCACCCTAATGTTTGGTAACGCACAATCCAGGCTAAATCTTGGACCATTTATAATAATAATAATAATAATAATAATAATAAACGTCTTTATTGAAATAAGGAAATACACTATTCCAAATGGCGGAATTTAAATTTAAACATTAAAAATGTAATAATTCATTCTTAAATTCAACCAAAACCAAATATTCTTTAGATAGATAATCCGAAGACCATTTATCTCAAGATAGTTAATCCTTATACCATGGATTACTAAGGTGGAACCATGGACTCGATTTCTCTTGACAAATATTTGAGGGTTTCAAGCCATAAGACACATTCAATATAAACAAAAATATATAGTAAGTAACAAAACCTTACCTGGTGATATTTAAGGAAAAACTTCTTTTCCATGTGACAAATTAGTTTTTCAGCCTTGGTGTCAACAAAGGAAGACATTTCATAATGTATAAAACCTTGTTCGTTTGCCCTTTCCAGATCAAAGGCGATAGATCTGCAATATATGATCAAATTTGACATTTCTTTCGCTATTTTGTTCTTAGTCTCCAATTCCCTGTGATGAATCTCCACTTTGCTAGCCATTTTGGCCACTTCAGATATAGCTTCTTTCCATTCTATAGCTTTTTCCTTACTTTTGAGCCCGAATTCGAAGGGCGAACCGGTTGTTACTTGCAATTTTACAATCCATCTTACGTCGCTCTGGGTGCTGTCATTTTCCTCGATGTTTACAATGGCACCCTTTAAGTCCAAATTACCTGTCATTGTTGAGCCATCTTCGGCCTAAATAAAATAAAAATACATCATATTTTATAGAAAATTTACTATCGCGAATATCAACGAAATTTATTAAAAACACCTATGGAAAAATGAGTTTTACCCCTCACGGTGTGCCTGAACGAAGTTTAAGTCACATAAAAATGCCGCCAAAAACTGATTGCAGTTTCTTGATCGGGACCCTTTGGTGACTTAAAAATGATATTTACCAAAATCCTAGCTGCTCGTCTTTTCATTTTTTTTTTGAAAATTCATGATTTTTTTCTTTAAATTTTTGTTTATTTCAAAGTCTACCTTTGACAGAGTACACATTTGTACACCGATTTTTATAAAATTAAAGTATATTATTGAGGACTTAAAGAATACTTTTTAATACTGTTCACATGTGTTGATATATACAGGGTGAGCCAAAAATCGCTTATTTTTAATAAAGCCAAAGCGTAAATTCATGATACGCAAAAAAGATTTATCCCCATTTTTTTTTAGATATTTCTACGTTTATCAGGTTACAAAATGGCATTAATATTAACCTTTCATAAAAAAATAGATTTTTAATAAAATTAAATAAAATAACGCTTAGAGAAGTTTTTTGATCGGCACTCTTTGGAGATTTAAAAACGATATTTACCAAAATTCTAACTGCTTTTTTAATTGTACACCGAAATTATTGATTGCAGTTTCTTGTTCGGGGCTCTTTGGTAACTTTAAAATGATATTTACCAAAATCCTAGCTGCTCCTCTTTTCGAAATTTTTTGAAAATTCTTATTTTTTTTTTAATTTTTGTTTATCTTACCTTTGACAGAGTACACATTTGTACACCGATTTTTATAATATTGGAGTATATTGTTAACGAAACTCGAAGAATACTGTTTTCATACTGAGCACATCATTAGATTTATACAGGGATAGCCAAAAATCACTTTTTTATATAGTAAAAAGCATAATGCACAAAAAAAATTTATCTCCAAAAAATGTTATTTTATTTAATTTTATTCAAAATAAATTTTTCTTATAAAGTCTTAATATTATATAAATCGATGTACAAATGTGTACTCTGTCAAAGGTAGACTTTAAGATAAACAAAATTTAAAAAAAAAATCATGAATTTTCAAAAAAATTCGAAAAGAGGAGCAGCTAGGATTTTGGTAAATATCATATTTAAGTCACCAAAGGGTCCCGAACAAGAAATTGCAATCAGTTTTTGGCGGCATTTTTATGTGACTTAAACTTCGTTCTGGCACACCGTGACCTTTTGATGCTATTTTCGTTAAATTTACTATAATTTCTCAATCTAAGACAGTTATCCTGTAAAACAAATATATTTTTATCAAAATTAGTTAAAAGTAAAAAAATACCAAACATAAGTGGTATTCAGCCCCTAGCTATAAGAGTTATATTTTTAATAAAGTTTGTGCATCAAATATTTTTAGTTCTCTAAATAGAATAAGTTCTCGCTGATTTTACCGATATGTGACTTGGAAAAATACAGGGTGTCTCAGATTTTAATCGGGAAAATTTAATAGACATTAGAACTCGCAAAAATAAGAGGAAAAGTTTTTAAGAACTTGTAGGATTTAAAGCTTTGTTTTTAAGATAAAGGGTATTAAAGGTAATAAAAAAGTATTGTCACGCCACTGCTTTTTTATGATTTTATTATCATAATTAGATTAAGCAATTAAAAATAAAACCTTTTTGTGTTTTGCATTTTTTCTCCATCTTGCTTAATTTACGGAAAAAATTAAATTCATTTATTTATCAGCTCGTTATCAGGCGCAAGCGATTAAACAAATTTTATTTTTTTCTTGAAAATTAAACAAGATATAGAAAATAATATTTTGCATAATATATTATATATATAATATTTTGCATAATATATTATATATATAATATTATGCATAATTATATAATATATTATATTATGACAAAATTAGTATTTTCTGTTCTGGGGATGAGGCATGTCGATTCTTGTTTTTTGATGCATTGAATGTAAATAATCTCTCAAAATCGATCGCACACGTTGTTATTTTGACTCTAACCTCGAAAAAACGCAATGAAATGAAATATACTGAAATTGTGATATACTGCCTTGAAGGCTAGTTTTTTTTTGAAAGCCTATATCAGCGGAGTCTCATTCTTACAGTTGACGTAAACTAACTTTAACTCACCTAACCTAACCTTAAATCACCTAATTTAACCTAAACTGGCCTTATATAACCCTTATCTTCTATCGCAGATTTTACTATTCTGTAAAAAGGTAAATTTTAACACGATAAGCAATGTCTTTACAACGAAATGAATATGAAATTTACTGTTTTATTCTCTCTATTTTTGGATTTCTAGAAGAATGGGTGAACATAATGATATCGCTGACCATTTTAGCATTTTTCGCTTGTGCCTGTAACCAGGGCACCTCCACGTGGTGACGGTGGGCAACGGATCCATACCGGCTGAGTCCCTGGGTAAACGGCGTTCATGCCGTCATGGCAGGCACAGAAAGAAAGTGTTTTACGATGCAGGGATTCGGAACCCCAGTATCGGCGTCGGGTCAGGGTGGGAAAGCGGGCTCGCCGATGTCGTCATCATGCAACCGTCCCTCTTCATCAATGGGTAACTTGGTTTATGGAGTCTTATGCGACAAGAAAAAAGACATTGGGCTTTCTAAACGCGCACGACTGCCACAAAAATGCAAATTCCTTTTGTTATATTTGCAGCAGATATGAAGTGACGTCTTTGCGGAAGATGATGACGAAGACTTTTCATTGATTCATCCAAACGAAGCATAAAAGGAGTTCTACTACACAATACCAACTCTTAGGCTCCCATCCCAATCGCTCACTCCACAGTGATGAAAGAGGAGTATAACAATGTGAAAATGCTTTTGAAAAAGTACGCGAGTCGCAAATGGCTAATCTGCGGAGATCTTAAAATAATAAGTATGATACTAGGGCAACAATCTGGTTTCAAAAAATTTCTGTGTTTTAATTTACCATTTTGAAGGAATATAATCTGAAAAATCTGCGATAGAAGATAAGGGTTATATTAGGCCAGGTTAGGTTAGGTTCCTTGAGAATGAGACTCCGCTGATATAGGCTTTAAAAAAAAAAGCCTTCAAGGCAGTATATCACAATTTACTATCATTTCCATTTACTATTTTTCGAGGTTAGAGTCAAAAGAACAACGTGTGTGATCGATTCTGAGAGCTTATTTACATTCAGTACATCGAGAAACATAAGAATCGACATGCCTCATCCCCAGAACAGGAAATACTTGTTCACGTTTTTTGAGGTTAAGTTGAAACGCTGACCTGGAGGAGAAATTCTGACATCGGATTCGGATTCAGGGCGTCAAAATCCATAGGAAAGCATATGTCGCATGCCCAGATTACGACATTTTTTTTTTGTGTGGCTGTGCTATTAAAACTATTCGCATGTCGCTCTCGAGCCCCAAATAGGGGACAGTACGGAACGCAATGGACATTCGCACCCAGCAAACACGGGTGAAGCCGTGCAGTTGCTGGGGGCGAACAAAAATCGGCCTAAGTAAACATAGGCCTGTACGGGGTCCGGGAGTGATGAGGCAATGGGGCTGGTTATACGTCTTTTATACTCATACTCATACTTATTTTTCTCTAATCACCCGACTATAGAAAAAACGTAATTAAAGGAAATTGTACTGATAAACAATTGAAAATCATCATTTATAAAAAGTTTGGTAAGAAAATCCTGAAAATTTATATCTCAACAAATATAAATTTTTGCGATTTAACTGATAAGACCTTCTTTAAAGAAAATTAAATTTTCTACAAGTTTGTCATTTTTTCAATGAATCCAGTCACTTTTGAAATATCCTCAAAAATATGAGAATTTTTCACTAAAATCAGATTTAGTGACCCGTACCATCCTACAGGTGCCAATTACAGCTATGGCACATAAAGCATTTTGTAGAACTTTTGATTACGAGTAAATCCCTTTTTGAAACAATACAATAGCCTAAAATGCGGCTGAGATATAAATATTTAAAAAAAAAAATCAAGGTTTACGTGTATTTTAAATGGCAAATCTTTATACGCTTTGGGAAAGTAAATAGATTTTATATTAAGGGCTCAAATTTTCAAGGAATTTTCTTTTGAACATTTCAACAAGATTTTGAGTTGGGAGCGAAAAAATTAAAATAGTCCTGAAAAAAAAAACACCCTAACACACTCAAAAATGTTTTGCATATTATCTAGAATGCCACTGAACTTTTCTTATATGGATTTTTTTTTGCACAATTTTGTTAATCGATTTAAACATAATGTTTTTTGCGCGTTTTTTTGTTATTGCGTCGATCTGGGTGCTTGATTTCTCGATATTGTGGTTATTAAAGTTTGTAATCCCATAGTTTGATTTTTCTCATTTTCTGGTGAAGAAAATGAATCGACAAGTGATATGTGAGTTCAATAGGGCTAAAATTGTTACTTTGGTTGAGGAAGGCCACACACAGGCTGACGTAGCTGCTCGGGTTGGAGTTAATCAGAGTGATGTTTCTCGAATTGTAAAAAAAATTCGAGAGACAAACTCAGTCCATGATCGTCCGAAAAGTGGAAGGCCCAGAATTACCACCGATGTTCAAGACCGTTTTATAACATTAACTGCCTGGAGAAACCGCACTGCGACTGCCCCAGCCATTAAGAGACTTCCAGCATGCTCACAATATTGTCATTTGTGATCAAACGATAAGGAATAGGTTACATGTAGCAAATTTATTCACGAGAAGACCGCTGTATGTCCCAAAACTCACGTTAGAACATAAAAGAAACCGACTGGAATGGGCCAACGAACATTTAGAATGGGATGAGAACAGATGGAGAAATGTGCTTTTTTCAGACGAGACCAGAATCGGTCTTGTGTCCGATAGTCGCCGGATTAGGGTTTGGCGGAACCCAAATCAACAAGATAGACTTGAGCAAGCTCTCCGAAGTCCCATACCAAGGTGGCACCATCATGTTTTGGGGCGGTATCAGGGCGAATAATAAAACTCATTTAATTCCCATCAATGGCAACATGAACGGACAAGTTTATATTGACACTTCGACCTGTAGTAAGCTTGTGAAAAGGTGCTGTTGGTCCGGAATTCGTTTTTATGGACGATAATGACCCTCCTCATCGAACGCGACAAGTACAAGATTTCTTGGAAACTGAAAATGTAACCAGATTGCGTTGGCCCTCCAATTCTCCTGACCTTAATACTATTGAGCATGCTTGGAATAAGCTTAAGAGGAACATTCAGGCCCGGCAACAACAGCCACGAACGTTACAAGAACTCAGAGCAGCAGCAGTTGAAGAATGGGATGCAATAGACGAAAATTACCTCAGTACGTTAGTCGGAAGCATGACACACCGTATTAATGCCTGCGTTATGGCTAGAGGTGGAAATACAGCGTATTAATATTATTAGTACCCACATTTGTACAGATTTTAAAAGTTTGAATAAATTTAATTTCGTAAAGTTTTACTTTTTTTGAAATTATTAAGAAACAATAATTTTTTATGTATTCACAATGTTTTTAATGCAATACAATAGTTTTTTTACCTGTATTTAAAAATATCTCATTTAGTTTTAAAAATATTCCATTATGCAAAACATTTTTGAGTTCTGTAAAAAATCAAATTATGAAAATAGAAATTCGGCTTAATAAGATTTTTTTGTCCAAATTTAATACTTTGTAAGAATTAGTCATAGATTTTATGGAAAAAAAATTCTTCCTAGGTTGCAAGAATAAATAAGGTAAAAAAGTCAGTTTTCTGTGTTAATTAAGCGGCAAAACTTCAGATTCGATGAAGGACCTCTTAAAATTGAAATTATGAGCTCCGCTTTTAACAGAATATTTTTCGGACATATTCTACGATATTTTGGGTGGAGAGCAAGAAAAAAAAAATATTTTTGGCACACCCTAATATGTATGTGTAAGAAGCAGAAAATGAAACACGAGATTATTTCAAGTACTTAAAATTTATAAACACTTACTCTATCTTCTATAGTGTTTTGGGGAGGTACTTCCACGACAAAGCTGGCGGGAAAGTACTGCTGTAATCTTCCCCCCATATCTCCTTTCCACCATTCATTGTCGCACTTCGTCACGTTGGTTATAATGGCGTGTTTGCAGAAAGTCAGTTCGTCGGGGTGTTGCGCCTGGTAGTTGTAAAGCGCTTTCACCATTATTTTTGGCACAAAAGCACTCGGGTCCATGTACGATGGGCAACTGTATGCACCGGCTTCTTCGCATTCCTGAAAAATATATATACACGTAGTTAGGCATTAAATCCGAATAGTAATGTTAAAATTGTAATCAAGGTAAATACAATTGTATTATAGGCTAAAAGTTAATTTATATAAAGACCAATTATTCATGTTCAATAAAATAAAATAAAATGGCATACACTAGCGATAACTAAAAAAATATATATCGATTTTAACAAAATTTTAAATACATTTAAAACAGTATTTAGTACAAGAAGTTAATGATATAATATCTTTGGAAGGTAAAATTTTATTTTGAATGGTTGTTATTTGCATTTGGTGTTATTTGCAAGTTTATTTTATTTTTATTTTTGATTTCGTAGTTATCTGCCTATCTAATATGTATTTAAAAACGTTATAACTTTATAAATTTAGATTTAATTTACTATTTTTTTAATAGAGTTACTTTAAACTTACACATATACAATGTTGTTCATCAAAATATTTTCAAGGTCTTAAAAAAAATATGTGGCATAAAATATGAGAGTAATATTTAGCCTAAGCTTTAAGCGGGGTGATTTTATTTCTTTTTATAATATGTACCTATATTAGAAATGTCCATTATTTTAAATATGGGTTATAATTAAAAATAATAATATTTGAGCATTACATTGCAATTGTTTTTAACTTCATAAAAAAGTAACTTTTGTTGTGTGTGTGTGTAATCATTTTGCAAAAAATTGTGTATTTTACAAATAATCGGTTATAAATAAATAAATTTATATAAATCAACTGTTTATAAATCCTGTAAATTAAATAAAAAAGATTGCATTTCATTGGTCTATGTCAACATGAAAACAAAGTATTTTTAAGGCTATAATAAAAAAGTATTTTAATTAGGCTAAATAAGGCTATAAGTTCTACATAAAACGTTGACCTATTTTAACTGGAATGAAGACAAGAATTTCTTACAATAAACCAGAGGCGTAAGTAAAAAATGATCTTATGGTTTAAAACGTAAACATTTAAAACGTACATGTTTCCATGACACTAAGTGATCTTTTAAATTCACATTGGCAAGTTGTGGCTTTATGGCGTTTTAGTCACGGGCTGAAGTTAGCAACAAGTTTTTGGTCACGGACTAAACTTAGTTGACAGTTGTCAAATGTCATACAATCGTTAAAATAAAGTGCCCTTCTTGTGAAATAAAAATGTTGAAATTAATTTATTAACTTAATACAAAAATAAAAAGTATAGAATAGTTTCTTAACGCCAATACCTATTTGAAAAATTTAAATGCAAGTGTGTACTGACCCTTTGATTTTGCCGGCAATAAACTAGATTTAACTGAAAGCATTAAAAATTCCGGGTGAAGACTACACCGCGAAATGCGTAAAAAAATTCTCTTCACTTTTACTGTAAAAAACAGCTCCTATATGATTATTTAAACGGTTGTTAGTCCATTTTCAAGGGATAAATTTGGATTTACACATACAAAATTGAGATTTTGACTGGCGCTTCCGTAATACAGATTCCCAAGTTAGGAATTGTTATGCGAGTTACTCTATTTTTTTATGTCGTTCTATACAAATATTTAATTTAAATTATTTTTAGATAATAATAAGTACCTACTTGTCGTAGAAAAACTATATTTTGCAAGTCGTTTATAAACTTGTATATACACTCATTTAATTAAGCACTAAGCCTAAATTAAATTCGTGACTAAAATGGCGTTTCTTAAACTTGATACATATTATACCATTTTTTTCTTAATAATTCAATAAAAATTAAATTAATAAACTTAAAAGGTATGTATACATGTAGTAGGTAAAAAGTTAATAAACAATTACACATTAATTTACCATTTCCAACATTTAATAAAAATACATTAGGGTTGCGAAAAATTTAAATGCAAGAGTCCTTAGTAAAAAATTATGGGATATTTCTTAGCGGATATGCGTTTTCAAAAACAAAAGTTCTTGTTTCATAACACTAAGATAAGAAAACGAAATCATAACATCTGCTTTCTTTGGTCTAGTGGCTTACATACGGATACTGTCTGAAGGTTTTATAAAGAAAATGTGATACGCTACTGAAAAAATAGTATAGCAAGTGTTTAATAGAAAAGGTTGTCTGGAAAAGTTTATATATAAACGAGTTGCATACTATACTTTTTTATTTTTTTTATTTGACATCTGACGAAAACCTGTAGAACATAACTTCATATAAAAACAAAACTAATATTTTTTTTACTAAAGAATCCGCTGTTTAGTGTTTAAGCAACCTGTATATGAATATTCGTCACCCAAAGTTGTTTTGCTACAAAAATTCATAGTTGAAAAGTTTTGTACACTGGGCGGAAAATTTCACTAGTAAAATTAACTCAAGTTATAAATAAACCAAATATACTATTTAATATACATATATAACAAAAAATCATTCTTCCAGGCACGCTACTGAAACAACGTTTAGGGGACCAGAAATATCAATGTTAACGTGGGTTAAAACGAAAGATAACAGTTCATGTTAATACAAGATTTAAGTTATTTATGATCTGTTTTATGTCTATCATTTCATTATACATGTCCCCAAGTAGTATAGATATGATAGCTTAATACAATATTTTAATTTATGAATCAATACAACCTCATATGTATAGTTATAGATAATAATATATTATATAAAATCAATAGTATAAAAAAACAATTATCATAAAAAATAGCTAATCTGAGGAGTGTCCACGGAATTAATGAACTAATTAATACATTTTTAAGGAATTAAAAAAAAAATGAATGGTGCACCTTAGGGTGCTAATATAAAACCATTTTTTTTTGTTTTTTAACGAAACTCCAAAATATTGTTCAAAACATCAAAAAAATTCTCTCAAAGTTTGAGCCCTTAATTTTTATTTTAAGTACTTCCTTTTTCATTTTGAATTTTTCCCATTTAAAAAGCATTTTCAATCACATTTTTTTAAATTTTATTTTTTTGCTTGGTTATAAGCTATCATATTGTGGTTCATTGTTACTTAATAATTTTTCTCTAACTTGATTCATCTTGATGGTATCAGCTCTGAAAATATTTCTTTTTACTTTTTTCACATATTTTTGAAAATATTAAGAAAATGGTTTGTCTTCCCGAAAAATTTTAAGTACCTACACATTTGAGCAGTTTAATATTTTAAAATTTGAAAAATTTGTGTTTTCTTGAGATTTATTTGTCTTAAATTCGTTTTCATGAATATTAAATATCTAAACTGTGCACTTTGGCCATATAAACATAAGAACTTTTTTGTAGAGAATTAAATTTTCGGTAATTTTTGGTATGAAAAGCCACACTCTTAATATTTTCAAAAATATGTGAAATAAAAAAAGACTTTTATGCTGATACCATCAAGGTGAATAGAGTTGGAGAAAAATTCTTATAGGCTCTTTTAAAAAGCGTTTTATAATCTATAAGTACCTAACAATGAACCACAATATGATAGCTTAAAACCCGGCAAAGATATAGATATAGTTTTAAAAAAATAATTGAAAATACATGCTTTTTAAATGAGAAAAATTCAAAATAAGAAAGGAAGCACTTAGAATCAAAATTAAGGGCTTAAACTTTGAGGGAATTTTTTTTTGATTTTTTAAACAATATTTTGGAGTTTCAGTGAAAAACAAAAAATAGTCGTTTTAAATGCAACACCCTAGTGCACATCTTTATAATTAAAATTTGACAATGTTAGGAAATAGGTATCCTGTATATAGATTTTTCTGTTTGTCTTTTTCAGTTTAATTTAGACTTAGTTATAGCATAAAAACACACATTATATTAATAAACATTTTTTAATTAAAATTAAACATAACTAACAATAGAATTATTTTATGATAAAATCTTTCCCTATTCTTTGATTATATCTTGCAAATTTTAGACATTAGGGCTAGAAAATTTCAATGAAATTAAAAAAAGTTTCCGACTCGATAGAGCACATCGAAAGACAGGTGTTTTAAATACGAGGGTGGGTCAAATGGAATATGGCCATACAGTATAATAGTAGCAAAACAAGTTTGTTCCGAATAAGTGCAATCTGTCAGTAGATTGCTTTAAAAAACCGAGTATTATGCAGTGAACACTTATTTTGAAGCCAAAACATCAAAATAAATCAAAATGGACAAAGTTTATAGCACATCTGCACCACCATTTAAAACTGTTTAACATAAATTAATCAAGCCAAAACAATATGTTTTTATGTTGTTTTGTAAGGATATATTGACTCACCCTCGTATCATTAAAATCAAATTTCAGAACTATTTAAAGCGATCAGGCGTCAAATCCACGCCTCAGTAACATAAATACTAATTTACGGATTCAAACACACAAATAAAAACACCCGGTTTGATATATTGGGTCGGTAAATATTTTATCGGATGAGATTAAAAATAATTCAATTTAAGTCTACTTAGGGCCTAAGCCACTAACAATAACAAGAAATACCAGTATCGGATACCTTCTTCTAACAGTAATATTAAAAATAAACGACCGGTAAAATTTCATGCGCAATATAAAGGAAGAAATAAACAAAAATTAAAAGAGATGCTTTGGTCATCCTTGGATTTTCTAATAGTTTAATGATTAAAGGGCATAAAAAAACTCAACGGGAACCTGTTCACACACGTGTAGCAAGTTTTGAGTCTACGCGTACAAAAGGGCGCCTAATCGGAACAAAGGTTCTATCAAAATTACCTTCTACAGGTAAAGGTTAAGAGAACCAATCCCATGTTGCCACAATTAATTATTCGATAATTTATAGGTTTTTAGATAACTTCACTTTGAATTACATTTTTAATGATTTGAATAAAAATGCTTTCAATTTTAAAAGTATTTAAGAAAAGGTATTTTAAAAAATAAAATTATTTAAATTTCAAAACGATTTAATAAATAAATAATGAAAATATAAAAATACATACTTATTTATACAAAAAATAGACAGTAGAAAAACTTTGAACTAAAACAGTAGCTTTTTAGTTAAAACAATTGTTTTTCACATTTATGTCATGTTCACTGCATTGGCAACATTGCTTCATTGCGCCCTTTAAAGAAGAGGTTTTTAAATACTAGACAAATGGTGGGGAGAGGGGCGTTGCATTCCATCCAAGGGTTAAAAAACTATGAGGGAGTCACAGACACTGATTTTTAACATTCAGTGTAAACTAGCAGGTTGTATTGTAATGGTATTTCACCTGTAACGTCGACTTTTTTTTTCTCAAGAAGGGTTCGCTCCGCTAGTAAATTGTGCCGTTGTCCAATAAGAATGGGGAAACTTTTGTTTTTCATGGTAAGTTTATTTAATTTAATAAAAAAGATTGCGATTAACAACAATATTTCACAAAAATATAAGTACAGAAGTAAGAAAAGGAAGTTTGCATTTTTTTTATTGCAGCATTATTAAATAACTTAACCCTCATGAAATTAAAATAATATTAAAAATTTTCTGAGCCACTTAAAAATCGATGTATTTATATTGCATCGTTTTATGTAGGTTTTGATTTGTTTTGTCTCCCAAAATACTTTCCAGATTTTTTAAATAAAATTTAATTTTTACAAAAGTTAGTAGTAAAAATATTCTTTATTAATAATAAATAATTTATATTTAAAAGTTAGTTTCTTTAAACACTTAAAGTTTAAAATACCTTTTTCTCCCGTAAGAGAATTTTCTCTTCTAAAATGCATAACAAAAATTATAGTAAAATAAAAAAGCTGTATTTACAGTCCCGAGGCGGGACTGACGTCATAATTATAACCTAACCCGATTGGTCTAAATCATTTGTAAGTGTCTAGGCCATAATCATTCACTTTAGTAACGAGTGTTGACAACAATAAAGTTTAAATTATATACCGATTGAAGATAAAAATATATTTGCTTACATTAATTATAATTATATTTGGTAATATTTGTATTACATTTTAATTTTAAATAAATATATAAAAAAATAAGAGAAGGTAAAATAAGAATACAGGGTGTATTATAAAGGTAAAGAAAACATAAATAGAGTAAAAATAATATTTTTTTTTTGCAAAAATATTTTATTTATGAACGTTCTTCAAGAAAAATAGTTTTTGTGTAATTATACATTGTTACGCCGTTAAAAAAAATCATTTATTATTAAAATTTGCTTTTTATTTAAAAAAAAGTAATTTCTTGCTCTTGTACCCTTTCCCGTAATTACCTTTTTTTGTAAATATTAGTTTCTACACAGATAAATGAAGGTAACAGAAACTTAATCGAGTATGCCATGATCCTGTCTTAAGCCGGGAATACATCTGAGAAACGTTGCCATTCGTTCGCATTCACTGTTATTGCCAACATTGCTGCTCGTTCGTAGTCATTCGCGGCAACTTTGCTTGGTAGACCCACGATACACATGTGTATCGTGGGTAGACCGACACATTTGCGAATTGCATGCAGAAAATGTGGAGCTAGAAATTGTAAACAAATGGCAAATATGACTTCTGGTGGTATAGCTTTCTGAATTATGTATTCCGTTTTACAATTTCTGGTTTAACCATATTCAGAAGGAAGCTAAAATCTTCTCGAGACATTCTAGTAAAGTTTTTAAAAAACGTAGGATTTGAATCGGCTAGTAAGTTCATACTATCATATCTTGTTCTACTCAAATATAAATCATTCATCCAAACAAGCCTCTTTTTCCTCTTCTGTTTTTCTTTTAGTCGCTTAATGATTTTATGGAAAATTATGTACGAGGCACAGGCCACTATAAAATGATTCTCACTCATTTTTATCCTTCATGAACGGAAACAAAATCAACTTTCCTTCCTGAATTGTAGCGAAGTACTGCAAATTATTTTTGACACTGCCACATGTGAACGCCTAACAACGTTCGCAGACATTCGCAACTCGGATTTCCTTTGATCTTTTCTTTTTTACCGACAGACGATGGAAAACGTTCGTTCGCTGTACTGACCATTCGCACCAAAATTTATTCGTTGCGAATGACCACAAATGACTATCCACACTTGAAAAACGAATGCGAACGAATGCAAACGAACGCGAACGAATGGCAACGTTTCTCAGATGTATTCCCGGCTTTAGAAGATGGCATTACAAAATAAAACAATAGCTAAAATTCTAGCATTTGAATGTTATTAAACATAATTTTGGATTCGCCTTACCTTAAAAACGACAATTCGTAGGATATAATTTTGAAAAATTTATTATTTTTAGTGATAATGTTTATCAAGGAATCGACCATATTCCAACCCTTATGGTACACCACATAACATTTTATTTTCAAGCTTTCTGTAATATAAACTTTATTATTGTCAACATTAATTAAAGCCTAGGATGTAAAAATAATTTAGATAAATTGGGTAAAGTTTTTTACCTTCTAGTCTGCAAACCACCCGTTTGGACCAATAAAAAAAATCCATAACTGTCAGATCTACCTAACCTCACTTTCCAGTTTTAATAATTATTATATTATGTATCGTTTAACAAATAAAATTGTGCCTTAAAAATAAAATGTTATATGCCATTCAGCTGGAAAGTGAATTTTTTTGCTTAACACAATTGTAGGCCACTATGCTTGAATTGTAATATTGTTATTTTAATGTTTTAATAATATTTAAGTATGTAAAAGGATAAAACACAATTTTCTGAACACATTTCAAAAATATAAAGTTTAAATTTGTTAATAATAAGTTATGATGACTTAAAGTTTTTTTTGTATGTAAAAGGATAAAACACAATTTTCTGAACACATTTCAAAAATATAAAGTTTAAATTTGTTAATAATAAGTTATGATGACTTAAAGTTTTTTTTTAATACAAACTGTCAAAAAATACATTTGTCCAGTTGACAGTGTTAACCATGTTAATATCAGGTCACTGTATATTAGGGTGATTAAAAAAAACTATTTTTTGTTTTTTTTCTCGGAACCACGCTCAAAAGTTTCGTATAGATATAAAAATGACCCTGTGAAGAGATGAGCTCTTAATTTCAAAATTAATATGCCCGCATCGCACTTTTCGATTTTCCATAAGAATAACATGAAAAATTATTTTTGTTTCTTCTGATTTTTGTAACTAACAAACGATAGGTCATATTGTAAAGTTCTTGCCGTATTTTTGTAGAGAATTGAACGCTCTACAAAAAAGGCATCTAATGATTTTTTGATAAAATTTATCCTTCTAAAGTAATTTAAGGTCAAAGTTCAAATTATACGAAATTTTTGTGTTTTTTAACTTTTTTGGCGAGTCTCGTAGAGAATTGAACGCTCTATAAAAAGTCTAGTCATTTTTCGGTAAGTTACTTGGTTAAAAGTTATTCAAGGTTAAAGTGAAATTAACCGTCAATTTAGAAAAAAGAATAACCCTGCAAGCTATAATAATAATAATAATAATAATATTGCCTTTATTAATAGATAATGGGCGAAGTTTAGCAAAAGATATTTATGGAACTTCCTGCTACTTTTGGCTAAAATCGTTTAAAAATATATCTACCATAAAATTTTGAAGCTACTCGATATCGTAATATCGATAGTTATGTTTTTTCGAATTTCCAGAGCTCAAAAACAATATTTCGATTCGTTTTTAGCCCTTTGAACTCAAAAATCTAGGAGTTTTTTCGAGAAAACGGCTAAATTGACGGGTAATTTCACTTTAACCTTGAATAACTTTTAGCCAAGTTAACTTTTCGAAAAATGACTCTAGACCTTTTTGTAGAGCGTTCAATTCTCTACAAAAATATGCCAAGAATTCTAGATTACGACCTATCGTTCGTTAGTTACAAAAATCAGAAGAAACAAAAATAATTTTTCCTATGTTATTCTTATGAAAAATCAAAAAGTGCTATGCGGAGCATCTTAATTTTGAAATTAAGAGCTCATCTCTTCACAGACTCATTTTAATATCTATACGAAACTTTTAAGCCTGGTTCCGTGAAAATAAACAAAAAAATGTAAATTGTAAATTAGGTTTTGTTTTTTTTTGTAATTTTTTATACTTAAAATATTTCCTCCTATCGCGTGGTATGGCGTTAGATAACGCGTTAAAACAAGGAAAAGATATATACTTTTATATTTTTTATAGGTTATTCTTTCAATTGAGACTGCAACAAACTGCGTAGCTTTAACGACGATGAACCCAATAGAGGCACCACCAGCGATATTTTCAATTACAAAAGACGAAGCGGCCGAAGACCGTTCGATATCGCGCATAACTGACACAGTCAAGAAAATCGTTTTCGACCAACAAGCCGTGCACACGAAAAAAGGGGACTATCCGGTAATCACGAAACACGAACCAGTCCAAAAGGAGATGGACAGAAAGGCGTTCGATGATCTGAAACTAAAATGTCAGCATTTCGCGAAATTATTCAACACTACGAGGATAAACGATGCCAGAATCGAAACACCGCAAAAAAACAGTAAACCCCTTTTTGAGCAGAGAAAACGTCCTATTTATGTCGCAAGTAGTACGACCACCACCACGGCAAAAAGTGGATTTTATATCACTGCGAGTAGTACTATTAAACCAGTACCCAGTATAAGTACCATCACTAGCACTACAACAATAAACCCAAGTACAGTACCCACTGTAGCAGAAAGTACCACAGCTAAACCCCCAGCGGTAGTACCAAAAGTTCAATACATCCGTTTAGAACCAGTAATTCTTCAAAAAACAATTTTAAGTGATGGTCGTACTGTTTACCTATGGCACAAAAGTCTACCCAGCGCTTTACCGTTTACCAGCGCAAATCTTCCAAAACAAGCAATGTTCCCCAAAAACGACGAAATGCCAATGAGCACCGAATCACCAACGACCGCATCTTATTCCAGATTTGACTTTAGAAATATTTTTTCATTCTACGGCTCACCTACTACTGAAGCGCCAAGTACGACCACCACCGCCACCACGAATAATGTACCACATCTTTATAACAATCAAGTAAGATTTGTAGTACCTGTACCTCTTGATAATAATGTTAAGTACCCTTGGTACAACGGTTACAATGACTTGTATTACCAGAAAGATGCAAGTCAGTTTAACGTTCCCTACCAACCTCCTTATCAAGTATTAAAAGCAGTACCTGTTGGTATGAGGTATCAGAAATATAATGAACGGTTGGATGATGTTAAGTTAACTTAAGTTTTTTTCTAAATTCAAGTCTATTACGGGTATTTGTATATTACAAACCTAATTGCCTCATATATAGGGTACTTTGTTGTATAATAAATATATTAGATTAAATTAATTTTATATGAATTACATACGCATTGTAAATAATGTAGCAAAGACTGATTGATTGTATAATTAAATAATTATTTAAGTTATTATAATTAGATATTAAAAATCTGTGTACACTAGGCACGCTAAAATAAGTTAAATTAGGGAAACATTTGAAATGGGTCGGTTTGTGCAATGACATGTAAAATTTGAATTTAATTTAAATAAAGTGCTAGATAATTAAAATAAATCAAGTGTATTTTTTACTGTTTCGACCCTATAATTGTAGTATTTCTACAATAATTTTATGTTGGTGTACTATCTTACTATACCAAAGTATTATAGTACGTCAAAGTACCATAATTTTAAATAATCTCTGAATGTATCTAAAATTTGAACTGCAATATTTGCAGTTTTCCGTGGCTAAATGCAAAAATGTGTTAACCTTTATTATTTGACGTTAAAGTTGACGCATTTTTGCTTAGAACGAAAATGCTTGTTTGTTGGTTTGTTTGTTTTAACAATTAACGATTCATGTACCCAGTGTTGTAACGTATCTAGCTTCAAGTAACTAGATACAGTATCTAGATACTTTTTATGTATCTGCTTATGTAACTAGTTACTTATTCCAATCTAGTAACTATAACTGTAACTAGTTTCAAATTTTAAGTAACTAGGCGTGTTAAGATACAAAGACACATTTTTTAATTAAACTGCGACTATTATTTATTGAGACAAGGAAAACACGTCCACTTCCACTTCAGACTTAATTTTTAATTTTTGAACTTGCCCAACAGTATGACCATATATTTTTAACGAATCTACTCCCGTTGAGTGAAGAAATCTACTAAACTGGTTAAAAAGGTTTTAAAAACCGTAGTATATACAGTTTTCTGTAATCTGCACTTTTGACAGTTAAAGTTTGTTTAAAATTTAAATTTAAAGGAACTTGTTAGAAAAATGGGTAAATAAAAATAAGTACTTGTATTAGCTCTACCAAACAATATATACTGGCTACCGTTTCATTTCCAAAATTTAAGCTTAAATGGTTGGCAAAAACTGATCCATGTTATGATACAGTCAAATCTCTATTTCTGTCAGAAATGGAAAGACTGTAAAAAATAGCAAAAAAAGATGATATGGAAGATTCTTCTGACATTGAAATGGAAAAAGATGATACATAATCCAGATCCATATCAAACTATATAGTAGGATAGCTTTAGAGGTGTCAGTAGTTACAGAATTTTTTGATTGGTACAGTGGCCGACACGGAATTTTGAACGACATAACTTGGTTGTCAATGTATACATCTGTAAATAGCAAAGATACAATATTGAGCATTTTTGCTTTCGCTGTCAAAATTACAATACTAGTGATAACCGAAAGTAAGGTTAGTTGTCCATAAAGAAAGTTTAGATTTTGATGTCAACAGGATGATAGTCGTTCAAAATTCCGTGTCGGCCACGGTACTAACGGTTTTTTTACAGACTAGGATGTAAAAAACTTCACTTAATTGGTCTTTAGTTATTTTTGATGCTAGATTGCAATATGCCAATTTTGCATTCGAGAATAAAAAAATCATTTGAGAATGCAAAAGAATATCGCAATTCAATATCAAACAGCATTTTTTCGAAAACTGTTTATTAATTGCTTAAAATGTGAAGAAAATTTTTTAAAACGGATAAAAAAGTATTTTTTCTACAACCAAGCGAAAAGTACAAATTTGCGTTTCCAAAAGAAAGCGCAAAGTTGCACTTTTCCGAGGAGCGAGCGTTTTTTTACTTTGTCGCTCGCTTAGTTACCATGGAAACCATAATAAAGAAACGTTTAGTGTATTTTAGACTTTTGACACAAACGTCAAATTTGACGTTATCAATAATTATTAATTTTTACCAAACATTCTTATAGAAACACCGGTTGTAGAAAAAATCCTGTGTGTAATTCGAGCGCAAAGTGACATTACCGCTCTTGCTTCTCGCTCAGAGCGTCAATGTATCACTTTGCGCTCTTAATATACAAATAGCTATTGCGTGCAACGGTGTTCTTTGCGTGCATACCAACGAATATAAGAGATTTTTTTTTACAATCGAGAGAAAATTACAAATTTGCGCTTCCAAAAGAAAGCGCAAAGTTGCACTTTTCCTAGGAGCGAACGAATATGAGACTGAAGCAATTTGATCGTAAAGTTGGTTCCAACACATTTAAAGCACATTTTTAATTAATTTAGGACCCTTTCAAAGAGATTAATAAATGTGCTAAACAATAACCATTCTAAACAATAGATGACTCTTTATGGATGTTTATCATATACTTATAAAACTATAAATTCTATAAATAAACTATTCCAGATTTCGTTTCTTTGCACATATTCGCCAAGAGTCATGAAATATAAATAAAAGTTTTATGTTACGATTATAATATAAACTAACAATTGATAATTGGTTAATAATGGTTTATACATACCCTAAATAAAATCAAACTTTTAAATTAATATCCAACATCTGTTTCTAGGTTAACTTTAATATCGTTTGAAAATCGCGGTTAAATTTAAAATATATTTTTGAGAACTTTATATTAAAACACGCTGTTAATGGTTTTAACACAGGTAAAAATATTTTATCTACGCCAGTGAGAGAAGAACTTCTTATCCCACTCATTTTGAGTGAGATAAGAAGTTCATTAACGCACGCGTTTTTCTCTGCTTTTAACCAATCAAATAAAAAAGTCAAAATGTCAAAATAACCCTAAATTAAGTCTTAGACAAAAATAATTACTGTTTATTTTTTCATTTAGAGGCGTAGATAAAAATTTGTACAATATACGTGTGATAACGCTTTATTAACGTACTTTTGCGATTGCCCAACTCGTGCTACGCACTCGTTGGGCAAATTTCGCATGCGTTCGTTTATAAAGCCCTTATCCCACTTATATCGTAAATAACTATTATCTACGCCAGTGAGATAAGAACTTCTTATCCCACTCATTTTGAGTGAGATAAGAAGTTCATTAACGCACGCGTTTTTCTCTGTTTTTAACCAATCAAATAAAAAAGTCAAAATGTCAAAATAACCCTAAATTAAGTCTTATACAAAAATAATTACCGTTTATTTTTTCATTTAGAGGCGTAGATAAAAATTTGTACAATATACGTGTGATAACGCTTTATTAACGTACTTTTGCGATTGCCCAACTCGTGCTACGCACTCGTTGGGCAAATTTCGCATGCGTACGTTAATAAAGCTCTTATCCCACTTATATCGTAAATAACTAATAAGGATCAACGAATTTTGGTTATGTTGGTATTTTAATTTTTGCATATACAGTTGTATTCATTAAAAAGGCGTACAAGAATTAGAATGAGAGAAAATTGTCAACATTATTGCGTAAAACCGGCTTTCCACTGACTTAAGTCACTATATCTGACAGTAGAAAATAAAAATGCCTCGTCAGTTATCTCAAGTTGAAAATGCTCAATTAGTATTAAGAATCGAATAAGGATGGTCAATTCCTGCTATAGCGCAGTTGTATAATATAAATAAAACAAAACTATTTTAAAAATTAAGCAACGCTGGAATTTACTAAACCGAAAAGTTGGTTCAGGTCGTCCCAAACTGTCCACCCCTGAACAGGATGCTGCTTTTTTGGAATATTAAAGAAATATTCCATTTGCAACAGCGAGGGATGCTGTTATTGATACAGAATTTCCAGGCTCTCAACCTACCTTCAGCAGAAGGGTCAAGAAATCTGAACTAAAAAATAGACCAGCTGCAAAAAATGTTTCTTACAGAAGAACGAAAACAATCAAGGGTTATATTTACATTAAATTACATATACCGCAATCCCCAACAGGGTAATTTTCATTGACGAAAAGTCCTTTCAGTCAAATAACGGTTAAGTTCGTGTTTATCGTCCCGATAATACTAGGTTTTTCTGTGAACATGGGGCTGGTTAAGTGTTTAAGGGTATGGTGTTTATTGGCGAATACAGGAAAGGTTTAATGCCGAAAATTATGTTAACATTTTGGAGAACATACTGCTACAATCTGCCAAGCAAATATATCCGAATAATACCTTTATATTTCAGCAGACCTGCTGGGAAGATATTAATACAAATATTGTATTAAATTTAATTCAGTCAATCCCAAATAGGTTAGCTGAAGTAATGGAAAACAGGGACTGCATTACTAAATATTAAATTTTTTTAATATTGTTTGTTTTTTTTATTTGTAATAATATTTTTTTTAATACGTATTATTTAATTAACCTACGGCGTTAATGCTCTTTATAACCTATATTAATTATTTTAATGACTTATGTCAGTGATAAGCCGGTTTTAAGCTATAATATTGTTGTGACAGTCTTCTCTCATTCTAATTCTTGTACGCTTTTTTAATGAATACAACTGTACTTTATTTGAATTCTTGACACATCTGTTTTAAAGGTCATGGAAGCGTTTGAATCTTGCGTTTTTAAAAAGCTGTGGAGTTCTCAAAAACTGTTTGAGAAACGTAGGAAAAATTTTTTAATAACAAACTCGTATGCGTAGATTCAGAATTTGCAATAAAAATTGCGTCACAACCCCATTAGATATTAAAAACTGTGCACACTAAAATAAGTTAAATTAAGGAAATAATTTTATTATTCAATTAATAAATAATTTAAATTTATTTTAATAAATTAATAATTGAAACTTACCATGTTCATTTTTATTACTGTTTCGGCCGTTATAGGATGATTTAACTTGACTTTTTTGTACAGGGGATGACTTTGATAGTAGTTTATTAACTGTACAAGACTTTCAAATTCCACATTTCCTATTGTGTATAATCTCCCTTCTAGTTTTATACGACAATGTTTGATTTTTCTTTCCGCTCTATAACAAAAAATGCATTAAATATAAAGATCTATTACATATCTAAATTGACGAACCTGAAACTAATGGTGTAAAAATTAATATCAATTTCGCTTGGTCTGACAAGAAAAGCGCCCTCTATTTTAGTTTTCCTCAGTACATCCTCGGCGTCCGTCTTGCCCAAATGTTTGTGGTACCACTCTTCGTTTTCGTGTATTTTCGGTTGCGGAACCGGTTGCGTTAACTTGACGGCGAATTGAGCGGTTTTCAGCTCGTTCGACCGATAATATTTGATCAAGTTGTACAGGCTGTCGAAGGGTTTGTTGTCGATAAAGTAGTATTTCGTTTGCTGTCGCTCTTGCTTTGATTTTATGCGACAGTGGTCGACCTTGCCGTCTCTGATAAACGAAAGAGTGTACTCGCCGACGAAAGTCACGCTGGCCCGCACCAAGAACGTGCCGTTGCCTAGATGCGCGTATGCTTTGAGAATTTGTTCGGCTTCTGTGCGGCCGTTTTTCAGTCTGTGGAACCATTCTTCGCTGAAGTGCAGTTCTTGGTTGGGAACGTTGTTGTTTCTGGGGAATACAGCTGACGCGCTGTCCTCGTCTTCTTCTGTTCTTTCCGATTCCTAGTAAATAATAACTTTACTTTAGTTTAGGGTAAACAATCCCTTAGCTAAAAAAGTAAAAGCTGCACAATTTGCCGTTGAAAAGACGTAAAGCAAAAATATTTTAAGCTTTATTACTTAATATTGTAGTTAACACATTTTTGCTTAGCAACAAAAACGAGATACGCCTTTACGGATTTTCAACAGCGAAGTGTAAAATGTTTTTGGTTACGTTTCTTGAACATCATGTACTTTAAAGCACCAAAACTTTAAGCAAAATTTTAGCTCTCTACACTACATGATGGATTTAGGCCCAGGCCTTGGGCGGTACAATTTTAAAAACAAACAAAATTTTAAAAGGTAGACAAATTCCTCAACTGTAAACTTTTTGACTTTACTTTCAAAAATGTTAACTTCATTATTAAATATTATCACTAAAATTTAAAATATAAAACAGGTTCAAACAATATTTTTAAATATAGCTCTGGGAGTATCTTGAAAAAAAGATACTTAAAAGTAACTTAGATACTTAAAGTATCTAAGATACTTTATCTTAGATACTTTGTATATTAGACAGAAAGTATCTTTAACTTGGTTACTTTAGAAAAGTATCTTGTAACTTGTATCTAAAAAAGTATCTAAGTTACTCGGTAAAGTAACTAAGATACATTCAAGTAACTAAGATACTTTTTAAAGTAACTAAAATACTTTTTAAAGTAACTTAGATACTTTCTTAGAGAAAATTGGGGGAATTCCAGAATGATTTAAAGTAATTACCTAACCTACAACTTGTGGAATGTTTATAATTTTATAGTTTTTATTCAAACTTGAAAGTAACTTAGTTACTTAAAAGTATCTTAGTTACTTAAAAGTATCTTAGTTACTCAAAACTATCTTAGATACTTTTATATAGTATCTAAGATAGTTTCGGATGGTATCTTAAATACTTTTTAAAGTATCTCTTTTAACTCAAAGTATCCAGTTACCAGAGGTAACTAAGTTATTTTGTATAAAGTATCTAAGAAAAGTAACTAGATACTTTTCAGAAGTAACTTTCCCAGCTCTGAGCTGTCCCCCTATTTACTTTATATTTTTGAAACCATTGAAACTTTCAAGTTTTAAATTTAAAATTTTGTTAATTAAGTCAATAAAAATCAAGTAAAAAAAATTAAAGAACGACAAAAAACAACATGTAAGAAAAAAATAGTAACCACACTTAACCATTATTTTACAAGAATAGGCGAAAAGCTAGTCAAAGCACAACATGGTTTCCAAAAACATAAAAGTACAGCCATGAAAAATCTCTTAAATTTTATACAAAGCAAAATGGATGAACGCAAATGTTTTACAGGACTGATTTTAGATTTTATAAAGGCTTTTGACACGGTAGATCCGCACATACTTCTAAAAAAGCTACAATTGGACTGAAAAAAAATTGATATCTTTAAATCTTACACTGGAAGAAAACAATATACAAGAGTATGAGATGAATTTAGTGACCAAGATACTATGGAGTGCCACAGGGTTCCATTTTGGGTCCTTATCTAAATTTATTATATATAAATGATCTTCAGTTTTATCATTTCTTTGTAAAAATTATGGTCTATGATGATGACCCGGCTCTTTTCTATGAAATGACAAAGAAACAGAACACCATCTACAAAGAGACATAGATAAATTACTAAAATAGACTAATACAAACAAATAAACACTAAATAGAGCAAAATGTCACATAATAAACTTTGAAAATAAAACAAAAAATCACAACATTAGAATTATAAAAGAAAAAAAAATGAAATAAATGGGTATTACTATCGACAAAAATCAAAATTGGGAAAGTCACATTAGTCATCATAACAAACATCTTTTGACATACAAAGGGCTTATTTATAAAATATGTAATATACAACCTGAAAAAAAACAAAAAAGTATGATTTATGGAGCTTAAATAAAAAGCAAAATAATGTATATGATTCCATTTTGGGCCACAGGTAACAAAACTGAAATAAGCACACTAAGAAAACAAAACAAACTATTAAAAACTTATATAATCCTAAAAAAAATCTACATCAACAAAGGAAGTACATATATAGAATAAACACATTTAATATTGAGGAATTGAAGGAAATGGAAACAAAAAAACTAATAAAAAAATATTGGAAAAAGAATACTGTGATGAAGACTGCATACATGATGAGAAACAATCAAAAAATTAACATACCAAGTTCAAAGACCAAAATACGACAAAAACGAATATTGACTGGGTGCCAGACTCTATAATGATATTCCAGAAGAGATCAAGAACACAAAGAACTATAAAAGTTTTAAAAAACAATTAAAAAAATTCTTTATTGTAGAAAATGTTTAATTAAAAAACTTGCTCATTCGCGAGTGTTCAACGTACACGGTACACATCGCTCGCGTTATAGGCAAATTTAACCAGTTATTTAGACTTCTTAAAAAATGGACGATAGTGATATTGAAGGTGATGGAGTGTTTGTTCCTGTTAAGGATAGAAAGAAACGAGGAAGAGATCCCAATAGTCCAGAATATCAACTTGCGGGATTTAATGCAAACGGTGAACCAAGTTTTCATACAAATAAAAAACTGGCGACAGACGACGATAAAAACAAAAACGATTCAACAAAAAACAACAGCTTAACATACATCAACAAAAAAGGGAATTCCAACCAAAACAAAAACCAGCATTCATATGTAAACAACAAATACTCACCAATAATGAACGGATCAACTTACAACAAATACAAACACTTTTATTTTTTGTCAACTGAACAGAATAGAGATGAATTTATTGAGATTTGGGAAAGAATTCACCCCAAGGAAAAAGACATAATTCTTACAGTGAAAACAGGACTTATATTAAAAACCAATAACGATAATGCAGAAATAAGCCTTGAAACGTTAGTCAGCACTGGAAAGGTAACCAGCTTCAAAAAATCCGAAAAAAATTCACCCCCCAGAGATACACCAAGTGAATCATATTCGGTTGTCATTGCTTCAATGGAACTGAATATTGATGAAAAAACAATTAGCGAAGCCCTTAAAAATCTCAACCTTGAACATCGCTTCTGTAAAAGAATAATAGCCCGGACAACAGGCAAACCAACCACTCTTATACGAATAATTACGAGCTCCAATTCCACTTCCGAAAAGCTGCTCTCCCACGGTTTTTACTTTAAATACCGTCACTACCCAGTATATCCAAGCAAACCTCCAGCTCCACTCCCTCAACCATGTAAAAAATGTTTATCCTTTGATCACGCATCTGAAAATTGTATCTCCCCAAGAAAATGTACAAAATGCTTCGGAACTCATGCAGATAACAAGTGCACCTCCACGTTACCACCAAAATGCACTGGATGTGGCTCTTTGGAACATCAGGCATGGTCTTTACAATGCCCTAAGAGACCTACACAACCATTAGAAGGAATTCCGAACATTCCTATTAAGTCCATCAACAAAAAATCAAATGAGTTACCTAAAGACATACAAAAATCCCGTATACATTCTCCAATTACTCTACACGATCTAATCATAAACAGCTACACCAAAGAATTAAACGAAGAGAAAACTAGCAATAGGGAAGAGTTAATTCTAAAACTTAGGAAAAGATTTGTCGCCAATTACAATGTGGATACAGTTGCAGTGTTCTCCGGTAGCAGAGTGTATATTCTAATGTTCGATTTAATCACAGGCGAAAATTCTCCAACAGAATCTATAAACAACGTAGTAAATATACAGCAAATTCAAACCGATTAATATATTATATTCCAACATAAACAGTTATAACAACAAAAAATATCTAATTAATAAGTACATTGAGGAGAATAACATAAACTGCACATTATTTGTAGAATCCAAAACCAATAGCAACACCAGCACAAATTACAAAAATTGGTCAGTTTTACAACTAGACGGTTATCAACCCAATAATCACACACGAGGTGGAAGTCTAGTACAACTTCATCCGGATCTTATCATGGGTAAGGCTAATAGACCAAGATTAAATAACCCTATCAATGAATGTCTCCACTTTACTGTTCCCTTTAAAGACGAAAAGTTGCACATATTTTTAGTATACATTCATCCAAACCTGAGAGTGGAGGAAAATATTTTGGTGATGGCAAGTCTATATAAATATTCAATTATCATAGGAGACTTCAACTGTGGGAATAAATATAAGAAAAAACAAATAAGCAACTTTCTTCAAAATTCACAATTTCTGAAATATAATTTACCTCCAACTTTTTTAATGCCTTTAAATAATGATACTACCCCTGATATGTTAATGTATACAGCAAATATTTCCAGTAATATTATTAGTGTAGAAGTCACACCGGATCTGTGCTCGGATCACCTAAGTCTACAAATTAAAATTGACTCCGAAAAATATTACAACTCTAGCCCGATAACAAAATATAATTTTAACAAAACAAAAATAAAAAAAGTAAATGAGACTCTTATAAGTTATATCAATAATTCCCAAAATTTAGACCCAAATGAAATTTCAAAATTTAATACTGAACTAACAAATTCTATTTTACAAAATACACCCAAAATTAATCAAAGATTTTACAACTACATATTACCTCCGTTTATATTACAACTTATTAAAAGAAAACGCAAAATGTATAGGGAATATAGAGAACTAGGAGACCCAAATTTAAAGACTAGCATGAACGCTTTTAATAAAAACATTCAAAATCTAATTCGGGAATATAGAAGTAATTGTTTTTTAAAAGTATGTCGAGAAATAAATTTAAAAAAAGGCAAATCTTATTGGCAAGATATTAAGAAACTTTCAAAATATAAAAGATCTGCACTTAAGAACAGCGAAATAATAGAGCAAGGGGTAACCTATAATACTGACCAAGAGAAGTGCGAGATTTTCTCTAAAAATTTCGAACGAGTCTACAAGGAAACCAACGATTTCAGGTTTGATGGTAATCATTACAGGGTTGTAGATGACTGGTACAGACTGTTTTTTAATGATATGATTCCGATTTCGGATGAGGATACATTTATAGAGGACAATTACTACGAAATTCTAGAATCGGGGAAAAATTCTGCACCGGGACATGATAATATTACCAGAAACATACTCAGAAAGCTAGACTTCCGGATTCACGAATACATAATAAAAATCTACAAATATTGCATCAAACATCAGCATATTCCTAATGAATGGAAAAAAGGTATCATAATTACACTGCCAAAACCCAATACCGATCACACCCTAACCTCCAATTATAGGCCAATTACGCTACTTCCAGTAATTGGAAAAAACTTTGAGAAAGTTATGAAAAAATTATTAGAGCATAAACTGCTAGAAAAAATTCCTGGATATCAATTTGGATTTAAACCTCATATGTCAACCGTCCATCCGCTTACAATTCTACTAAACAACGTGGAAACATCCAAATTAAACAAATTTAAATCTGCCGCTGTTTTTTTGGATATAAGCAAGGCCTTTGATAGTGTATGGATTAAAGGATTGTTGTATAAACTACATCTAATGGACTGCCCCATTCACCTTATTAATATAGTACGCCTACTTCTAGAAAAGCGAGAATTAAGGGTTAAAATTGGCAATGACTTCTCCAATTCATTTGTTACTCAACAAGGGCTACCCCAAGGATCTCCACTTTCACCTTTTTTATATAATGTTTATTGCGCTGACATCTACCATCACCGATTTGAAGACATACATTACTTCTCTCATACGTCCTACATGCTGCAATTTGCCGACGACACCGCTCTAATAACACACGGCCAAACCTTGGGGATAGTTATTCAAAAATTGCAAGAATTGACAAACATAACTATGAAATGGTTTAATAAATGGAGGCTTAAAATCAATGCAAATAAAACGCAAATGATCATTTTCAACCATAACATTTCACATAACTCACCAACAATTTCATTAAATAATCATATACTTCAAGCATCACCAGCAGTTAAATATTTAGGAATAACTCTTGATCCAAAATTAAACTTTAACAGCCATACTAAACTGTTAAAAAAGAAAATAATCACAAGGTCCAAACATTTTAGAAGTTTAACCTACAAAAACTCAGGCATTAGTATGGATACAAGCACAAAAATATACAAAATGATCTGCAGGCCCATCATTGAGTACGGATTTATCCTATTTCTAAATTGCAAAAGACCAGCTATGCAGAACCTAAAGACATCAGAAACAACTTCCCTACGAACAATCACAAAAATCCGCCACCCTAACAATCCTTTATTTAACCCCTCAAATATCCTACTCTATACAACAACAAAAATTCAACCAATAGAAGAAAGAATTAACATGTTGGCAGAAAAGTTTAGCAAAAAAGACATTAATTTCGAAATACTTAATAATTACTGCATAGAACGAGAAAATCGTGAATCTACACACAAACATCCAGTAGAAACCACCATGGAGAAATTAATAAAATTCCATAATGCTCCATAACACTAGATGTATTTTTTTTTGTTAAATAAGTACCTTGATTTTATAAATGTTACGATTATACTGTTAAATGTTATATTTATACTTATATCAAAATTTATTGTAAACTCATCGGCTGAAGGACTACGGTCAATAGCCTTTGAACTTGGTTTTAGTTCAATAAAGCATTATTATTATTAAAAACTTGCTGTGGCGTAAAAAGTTAAAAGTTTTAATATATCAATAGAAGAAACAAAAAATAATAATTTTATGTGGCCTAGATTTATTCGAAGTCAGAAGTTATATTTACTTTAAAATTGTCTTTGTGGTGCTTTACTGAAAAGTCATTTGCAGAACTTTCAGTGAAACTTTTTTTTGTAATATTCTATATATTTATGATGTAAAATAAAGTTTTTTTCGAGTTTTTTTAATAAGGCGGCATATCAGAGTGGGCCTAAGGCCACTGCCATTAAATCCGCCCCTGGCTCTCTAGCTCATAGTGAAGAATCGATTGCAAAATTTATACAGGACAAACCGATATTTTAAGCAAATTCTTTTTTTTAAAATCTAAAATTCACAAGTAGGTCAAAATTTGGAAATCAGCAAAAATGTTTTTTTTTTCTCATGATTAAATTGTAAATGAGTCTGTTAAGCAGTTTTGCAAAAAATTAAATTTTGCAAAATTTATAAACAATTAAATATGGAGGTTCCTTTTCAAAAAAGTATGTAATCGTCGGATTTTGACGGAGCTTAAATAAAGGAAAATTAATTATTTAACTAATTAATAAAAAAACAATTTTTAATTATGTTCTGCGCATCGGAAAAATATGATAAAAAAATAGAGGCACATTGTACCCTTAAACGTAGAATTTAGTCAAGAAAAGATTGAGTGGTAAAATGACTTCCACGAATTTTATTTTAATGTCAAATACGAGTGGTAATACATGGCCACTTCTCACGGCAAAAGGTTATTGCAATTTGGTGTTACATTACATTAAAACAATATAATTATTGCTTACGTTGTAAGCGTTTTTAGTTAAAGAGTTAAAAAATTTCAAGAATATTTATTTTTCTATAAGGATTGACCACAATTTTAGTATCAACCCTTGTTAATAAACAAGATTTATTAACCTCATGCATTTTTCGTTCCCCCCTTTTTTTTAAATTTATCGAACCTACACTAAGTCACTTAAAAGTTCAGAAGTGGCTTCTGAAGTCTTTTGGATTTTAAATTTCATTAAATGCTTACCGCTTGATTTTCTAGATTGTAACCATCAGTATAGAACAACTTGGTCTTGGTAAGAACAAAAAAGAAGGGGTTCCATTCGTCCGCAGGATTTTCAATGTAAACTATATCGTTAAGAACGGAATTTCTCAGGTCCAGTTCGTGAGAATCGTTGGGCATTGGAAGTGAGATTTCGTCTTGGCCGTCAGGTAATTTTTTGTGTTTAAGTATAATTTTTCGTCTTAACACATGCGGTGAAGGAAGCTGGGTTTCAGTCGGAGACACAGGCGCCACCACAAGGAGATCTCCAAAAACTTCCTGAAAATTAAGGGATTAAAATTTAAACTCTTTTTTTTATTTAAATCTAAGAGCAAGTTATAAGCTGTCCGAGAGTTTGCATATGATATAATCTGACTCAGATTATCTGAGCAATATTTAAACGCCTTAAAATAGTTTTGCTTTGCTCGAGAGTTAAACTATCAAAAACGGAGGTATAGAGACTAATTTATTAATAATTATTTAATCCTAATCAGCTCATTTAATAATTAACTCCTAAAGACAGAATTTTGTCGCGCCAACAGGCCCTAGCTCACAATCTACTGCAACTGTATCCTTGACTATCTGGTGTATAAATAGCAATACAAAAACTGCAAACTTTTTAAAGACTTTTTGAGTTTTGCAACAGTAAGTAATAAATTTACTGTACTTAATTGTTTCTTACCTGCATCGCTGTCGCCATTTTTCTTTGTTGGTGCAAGCTACAATTATCCTCAATAGACAAAATTACCGGGTATTCAGAAGTTGCAAATGCATGTTCCTTAATTATTCTGATAACATCTTTAAATTTGATTTTTGATGTTAGACTGTGACCATGAAAGATAAAAGGCATATCGTCTGGCCCATCCCAACAATCCAATTCTATACATCTACAACCCATTCTTAGACATCTCACATAAGCTTCGACAGATGATTCACTGGAAACTTGATCGCCAGTTAAATATCTAAAAAGAAAAATATTTATTTGTTCATAAATAATTTTTTTTATATTACGTATTGTGTGAGGAAGAAACCCAATAATGTGACATAGGTCTCGACATGTCATGATAAACTTTGTCTTTTCTAGTGTCCCAAAGATCATTTTGTTTTGAAAACAAGAAATCGCAAAATTCCGATACAGTAAGATATGGTTCTTGGATTTCTCTTTGTGGATCTTTAAGAAAATCGCATATAAATTGAGAAACCATTCGGTCATCATTTCCCAATGAATCGTTTTGTTCATGTATTAAAAAACATGAAAACTCTTGACAAGATATTGTCTTCATATTCGATGAATATTGCGGCAGTTTATCAAACAAATTTAATTCCGTCTAAAAAATACATGAATATTTTTATTACTTATATTTATCTAGGCCTTGCCAAAACGCAATGGCAAATGGGTACAAAATTAAAAAGGTGTATTTTAATTTGTAAATAGGTATAAATGCAGTGTTTTAAATTAAAATTATTAAAAAACGGTATTAAATACTTATAATTTATCAGAATTTAATAGCGTTTTTAATAATTTTAATTATAATCATATTTTTAAAACCTCTAATAAATTTTAATAATATTATCTAATATCTAATAAATTTATGGAGAATAAAAAGTTTGTTTCAGTTACTTTTTCATATGACATGACCAGTTATAATAAGTTCTTACATATTCATAATACATCATTTTTTGATAAACTGTACTGAAGTCATCAAAGCCTATTTCAGTACATTTACGGTTGTCCACTTCATTAAATAAATCTTTCAATTTTATATTTGGCATTTTAAAGTTTATTTTTGGTAAAAATGCTTTTAAATCCCTAAAGTTAATATTTCCACAGGGGCTTTCCATGACATAAAACTCTCTTCTTAACCATGTTTGAACTTGTAATGGATATGAATAATCTCTTATCTCTGCAACTAGGTATTGTAAACCTTTTACCCATAGCTCACATTCCAGCTCAGAAAAGGCTAAAAATAATAAATCATACAGATAAAAAAGCAATCCTTTGGAACACATTTTATAAAAATTTTATAATTTCCTACAAAAACTATTATTTTTAGCTATTATGTCATTTGAAACTAAAATAAATAATACCTTTCTAATAATAATAATAAGTATTTGTAAAAAGTATATATCTTAATAAATTATATAGAAATTTGAAAAAGTAGGTATGTTAAAAACGAAAACCATTTTAAAATGATTTATATTTTGATTTCACATAAATTTCATTACATTAAAACCAATAACAAAAACTTACCAAGCAAACTTAAAGTCTTTAAATTAAATTCTGATCCATAAAACACCACAAAACATTTTTTTTCCATTCTGTTGGTCTCCTCTGTGCATTTTTCAAAATCCTTAGAATGCCTACCATGCCTAATTTCTTTTATTTCTCTTATATTTACGCAACCATCGTAAGTGTTTTTTTGGGTGGATGTGGGTCTGATCCATGTTATCTGGCCTGTCTCTCTACGAATCGATAGGTTTCTCCGTTCTGGTTTTTTCTTGCACGAAAATTTTGTCACCAAAGTGCCCCTTTCTAATTGACTTATTACTTGTTCTTTTTCTGGAATATATCCAGCCCCTCTTATGGAGAGAAAATCACTAAATTGACCCATTTTATTCATTAATATTTGGCTAAAAAATAAATTAGATAGGTATTTTTTACATAAACAGAACTTTTTTTAACAATAAGTTTTGAAATACCTGGATAGTTTTTTTCTTAACTCAATGTGAGATAAATATTATTGCCTGATGGGTCATTCCACGTTACTAAGGGATTTTTGTCCCGCCCGTCACAATTAAAAATTATGAGTAAAAACTACACGTTATAAAATTTATTTTAAAATATTGTTTATTATGCTTCTAATAAGTTATAAGCACAATAAAAATAATATTATAAAATATTAATTTAATAACTTGTGGTTTTTACTCACAACGTTTAATTGTGACGGGCGGGACAAACGTTACCGAAGTAACGTGGAATGCCCCTGATGTAGGTATAAAAAGAAAAATTTTTTTCAAATGAAATATAAAATATATGTACTAAGAAGATTATATGTACTTTGTACTATTAGCCAGGGAGGTAGCGACATTTTTCGAAAAATCATTTAAATAAAGCTAGATATTTTTCTAATGAAAGTTTAAAATTACACTGTGGGTAAATTTTCAACTCTTGAAATATCACAGCTAAACGCTCGGACACGTAAACAAAATTTTTGGTCATAGTTTCCAAATCCGTGCTCGGTTTAGCTATATCAGGTCTAAAAGTTTTTTTCTATTTGCAATCCGATCCGGAGACATGATATAATTAATTAATAAATATAATAAATTAATTAATATAAATAATTTATTTCACCTCTTGTGCCAACATTCCTATGCTTTTTATTTTGTTTAATATAATATCCTCAATTATGCTCAATAAAAAAATTCAACAAAAAACATTTTTAATTTCCTAAATTATCTAAAAAAAACTCTCAGGGACACGTGTTCCGCTTGATTTACTTCAAATTTTGCAAGACTTTGTTTTTGTTTAATTTAAAACTGATATGTGGGTCCAGCCAAATTGATTTTTTTTTAAATTTATACAGGGTGTTTCAAATATCTTTGAATTTTGACCTGATACAGCTAAACCAAGCACGGATTTGTAATCTACGACCAAAAATTAAGTTTACGTGTCCGAGCGTTTAGCTTTACCTAATTATTACTTAGTTTTTAATCTATGACCTAATTATTGTTGATTGTGTCATTTTTGTAATTGCGGATATGGCGGTGAAATTTTTGGAATCTTAAAACATTGTTTAAAAGATACCTGAGAAAACCCAGGGCAAATCTGTAGGATGTCAACTACAAAAATTCCACTCCTATATTCGCAAACCTAATAACAAAAAATAGGCTATTTCTCAAATTTTAACGAAAAAATTTAATAAACCAAAAACTATTTACTTTAGGTATAGGACATGGTATAGTAATTTTACCTAGAATCACAATCCACATTGTGATTGTGCCTAGAATTTTAAGAATTTAAAAATGTAAAAATATATGGGGTGTTCTATTTGAAATTACAAAGTTGATATAAGAGCATGGATGGACTTTGGTTGTATTAATGAATTTGAAATTAAATATATTTTAGTAAAATTAATATTAGGTATGTGTCACATTCAGTATATTATATATTATGGTTAAGAATCTGTCACTGACAGTAATATTGACGTGGGAAAACTTTCAAGTTGAACATGTTTAATTTTTGTCTCATGTTTCCACCACTTAAAGTTTGGTAGACTTGCACTTTCATAATTGGTATTGTCTAATCTATCATGGGAAAAATATAGCTATATATTTATTAACTCAAAAAATCTCCCTGGCTACCAGTAGCGTGCCGTGGGTCAAAGGGCGGAGGGGGCGAACTTTCTTAAAAACAATTTTTTTTTATTTGATACAAAATTGTCAACTAATTAGGGCGCCAAATGCGCAATTGTACAGAGGGGCGGGGGGGGCCGCCGCCCCCCCTGGCCCCCTATACGGCACGCTACTGCTGGCTACATGTACTATGCTTCACATTCAAGTCACACCTTGTCATTTAAATACAAATAATTGAGGTTATCTGTCAGTTTCGTCTTATTTCCTGAAAATACAATACAATATAATATATTAATACATAATATAATTATGTATTTATTTATGTTCTAAATTAAAGCTGGATTTATAGTTTTAAAAACAAGCAGTATCAGTAGGAGTAAGAAATAAGGCAATGCTGCCAACCTTAATGTTTGCAATATGATTGGATGGAGTAAGGAAAGTAGCAACCAAGGTATTTGACGTTAGATATGACCAACTTATATATTTTCTTGCTGCTACTCCAGCCAATCACATTCAAATTATCTATGATCAAATTGCAAAAATTTGAGCTCGACTCATAAACGTGGGCGCGCATTCGTATTTTGGTGCATTTTATTATTAATATTTGACAGAAACGTCATAACGCCAACCTAAAGCGAAATTTATAAACTTTCAGTTGGCTTTGGCGTTGGCGCTAGCGCTCTTTAAAAATTATTTAAATCGCGCTTTAGGTTGGCGTTATGACGTTTCTGTCAAATTTCAATAATAAAATGCCACGAAAATACGCAAGTTCAAATATAATATATTTTATATTATACAGGGTGTCCCGAAAATATTGTGCAATACTCTACAAGCGGTTTTTAAAGACAAAAATAGGCTTTTAAAAAGGCGCCACTGAAGTTGTTTTTTAATTATTTCCGAAACGGTTTGAGATAAAATAATACCTAACTAACTTTTTATGCTGAATTTGAAGATTAAAACAAAATTTATTTTTTCTTTAGGAGTATATTTAACAGGGATGGCCTAGGGTATTTTTAGACCCCAACTTTTTTATGTGCCGTTGGCCGCAGAATAAAAAAATTAAAAAAAAAACTTGTTTACCAAGAGTAGGTACCGTAAACACGGGTGACTTTAGCTCACTTAAATTTTAAAATTTTTGTGGTTTTAACAATCATAAACATTAAATTTTGTATACCAAAATTTGAGTCTTGAGTTGCTCTTTCATAATAACTATGTTATAATATTACATAGGGCTGAGTTTCAAAAATAAAAATTAAAAACTGGGTGTGCAAAGTTACCCCCTGGTTGCGGTAACTTTGTCTCACAGTGTATTTTCCGTATAACTCAATATTTTATTTTTATTAGACACGTGTTAGCAGCGACATATATCTATTGCAAGGGATTACCGATAAAAATAAATAAAAAATCGACCTGTAGTTAACCAAGGATCATCATTCCAAAGGATTGCGCATAATATAGAAATTGTAACGCGTGTATTTCTAAGAGTTTTGCACTGATGCGATATATACAATTTTAAAGTGTAATAAATTCCATTTCTTTCTTTAAAACACTGATTTTCCTGTAATATAAACTCAATAGAATCGCTCAATTTACAGGTTTAGACCAACAAATTATAAATGTTAATTTTACCGAGCGCGAAAAGATTTTTCATAAAAGGGTTAAAGTCACCCGCGGGGTGCAAAGTCACCCGTGTTTACGGTACCTTTCTAGTGTAGAAAATATTTGCGGTTAAAAATTGGCTTTCAGAATGCCAATTTGTTCAGTTTCATAGAAATTAAGAGCAAAAAAATATCATACAACCCTAAAATCTCCGTCACTGGATTCAAAAATTAAATTATGGATAAAAAAATAGCTAATATTAATTATAAAATGTGTGCAAAATCGGAGTTTTGTATCGTAAACGGTTCCTCTCAGAAACTTCCTGAGAAACCAGGTTACAGGAAAACTGTGCGTTTGCGGACTCATGTAAATAGAATTTTTTTTTCTTAGAACCAGCCAAAAAATTACACCCTTCATTTTTTGACACATGTTCTGAAACACCTGTATACATCAAGTAGACTTAAAGCCCATGAGTTATAAATTATATGAAAATTATTATATGCTTGAAAAAAATACATTGGTACATATATTGTATTATTTTCAGAAAATAAAACAAAATTAGCGTTAAACTGACAGAAATAACTGGATATGTTAGGGTTGCCAGATCTCTGGCTTTTACCAAGTCTGCAAGTTTTTGGTAGCTGGCCTGGGTTACAATAAAATCTCCAGGCTTCAGGTTTTGCAATAAAATCCCCAGGTTAACTATAAAAATAATATCTAATTCTGAATATTGCAATGTTGAATATTAACTATATAAAGTATAAAGTATACTTTTCATTAATTAGGTTTTAGCAAATTTAAATTGTTTTGTTTATCACCACATAACACCTAAACCAAACAGTACATGCAATTCTTCTTGGATGAGTTTTACATTTCCTCAGTATGTGCAAAGTGGTGAGTAAAACCATGGTTTTACTGTGTAGTGTTTATTTAGCTATGTGTTTTGTAAACCATTGATATCATTAAAATGGATGGTTTTACAAAAAATAAATGTAAGACATTTTTTGTAAAGCATGTTGCATGTCTATTTATTATAACAAGTTATGAATTTTTGTCATTAATACCTGTCATTTTTGCCGGGTTGAACAATTTTTTTTTAATTGTTTTATGATTGTATTACAGTGTAAACCAATAATTTAGATGAGACCCAAGAAAAAAAAGCCAACTTGGATAAAGTGATCAGATTCTAAGTTAGTTGGGAAATAACAGACACCCTAATATACATAGTTCAATGACAGTTCAGCCATTAGAGTTTATTTGGTATTTAAATATCTCTGGGTCATTTGTTAGCTGAAGCTGGCAACCCAATCCGTGGAGCAACCTGGTTTTGTCCAGGGGAGCATAGTACATAAAAAGTCATTAAATGTTGAGCACAACGTCGTTTGATTTCTACTGTACTTATTAATAGGAGTTAATATATAATTTAGATAATTTAATATTAAATATAAAGTAAATAATAATAAAACTAAATCCAGATGTTAAGCATTAAGCTGTCACAAGTGCTAACACAACAAATGGTTCATATACAAAGTATTTTTAACAAAGACAATAAAAATAGATTAAAATAAATCAATCGCATTGAAGAATAATAATTTTGTCGGTCTACTTACACATTTAACTTTTTAGCATTAACAAAATACTAATTTATAATCAAAAACATGTAAAAATCAAAGATTTGTTAAAAGTACAATTATTTCCCATAACTGTAACATTCATTTTATGTTAAATAATTCACGAAACACTAATCAAAACATAACTATTTGTAAAAATTAAAAAGGAAACAAACTGACATATTCCAAGGTTATAAAGTTTTCTGCAACTGTCAAAATTTAACATTCCTATCAAAGATTCCTATTTTATCGACAAGTTATTTCCGTACAGGTCTGTTCAACCTACACTAATAACCGTATAGTACACTACACAAAATACATACGCGTTAATTATAATAATAGTTATTATTATTAATATGTTAATTAATATTTAAACTAAACATAAATTTATTAAGCTATTAAATGTGTAAAATGCGTAAAATGTTTAAATTAACAATTGTTCTAATAATCTTGCATAATAAAAAAGTAATATAACAAATACAAATTAAGTTTGAACGCGTTTACTTATAAATAAATAAAATTTGGCAGTCTTCTGGAAGAGTTATTCTGACTTAAAAATACTATTAGCAGAGAAATGAAAGCTACCTATAGCGATAAAAATACATTTTTGGAATTATTAAGGGATGTTGTATTTGGTTATTGTAAAAGAAAACAAGAAGAAAACTATTTTTATACATTGTTTATGTGTTGTCATAGCCTATGACTCATAGAGCAAGTTTATTGCAGTTCATCATAATAACTAAGAACTTTAGGCATTATGCCGAATGTTTTTGGATATTGGCAGTATCCTATAGTATATATAGTATGCGTTTAACAAATCTCATTGCATACGTATAGAAAACTATAGAAATTAAGTTAAATTCAAAACAAATGAGTCGTCTAGTTTCAAAAGCGGCCATCTCCAAATGTTTTTAAAAAATAGTTATTTACACCAATAAAATCGGAAGTATATATACTTAGTATATTAGTGCAAATTTGCACTAATATACCAAGTAATTTTCCGATTTTATTGGTGTAAATAACTAGTTTAAATTATATCCGAACAAAAACGGATATTAAAAGAATGGCTATTAATAGAATGGAAATTTCCAAGACAAATAATTCATTAAAGTTTCATGTTAGTTTCAATACCGGCCATCTCCATTGATGTTTTAATTAATTAAAATTTATAATGTTTGTTTGCCGTTTACTTAAAATATTCTTTGAAAGATATGGCCGCTTTTAAAATTAGAGGACTTAAATATTGATTTTACAGCTCAAGTACCTACTTTATAAATAAGTTTAACAAATCTCATTGCACACTTTCCAACTTCTGGGTGGTCTGCGAATATCCAAAATCTGTCAAAATTAAAAACGCGAGCCCTGTTTTACCGACACGTCCATGTGGTTCTTTGATTTGAGGTTGACAGATAAGTTGGCTGATGCAATAATTTAATTTAAAAGCACAAATCACCCATTTCTATAGAATTTAAAATAAATAGTGAATCGTGTGTAAAATTAATTTTTAACTATGACGGAAGACGAAGCGGTAAGTAAAACGATATTGTAAAATTTAGGTTAGAAACGGTACAATTTTCTTTTATTTTAAAGAACATATTGCAGTATTTTCTTAACTTTAGATGCTAATTTTCTTATATAAGTTGTGTTTAGTTATTTGTACAACATTTTTGCTTTAATATATAGTAAAACCGGTTAAAATGACGCACCCAGATTTTTCTGCAGATGTTGGTATTTCAGTATACTTTTTATTCCGTATTTTAGGTAATTGTTGTTTATAATGTTTATATAACTACAAATAAGAAAATACCCCAATTTTTTTAAATTCTTTATTTAATTTTATTTCAGTATTGAATACCCTGATCTTTTTATTACTTATAAGTTATAATTTTTATTAATGTTTTAGCAAGTACCTAGTTTTTTAGTCATTGTGTCGTTTCAAAAATAAAAAGTTTGGTAATTATGACAAAGTTATAGCAATTTAAAGTTTAGGTTTTTGAAAGTTTTAAAGTTTTCTGAGCTAAAGTTTAACAAAGATTTCATGCTCAAGGAAATATTTTATTCTAAATGGTCAAAACCGGGTTTTGACCCCCTTGTGACAGAATGTGATGATGTGAAGACCCCCCACCCTGAAGTGTCATGTGACAAATTATAGAACCCCCTACCCTTAAAACATTTTTTTCCAATTCTTTTTTGTACTCGAACCAATAATCTGACTAAAAATTAAAGAAATAAGCAATTCCATTCAATTTACTTTCTCATTTGAGGTTTTTAAAACCCTTCCCCCTTGACCATGGCAAGATTTATGGATGGCACCTTAATAAATTAAAAAGATCAGGCAACACAATACTAAAACACTAAATAAAATCCATTGATATTACTTTTGGTGTGGAATATTATTTATGTTGCTTAGCTTATTAACCCCTATAACATTAAAAAACATTTTAAATTATAGATATTTGATCCTACCTTAAAAAAGAAAAAGAAGAAGAAGAAGACTGCCTTTGATGTTGAAGCTGCTCTGGCTGAAGGCAGCACAGACACAGCAGATGCTTGCAGTGTTGGTGATGGAGATGCAAAAGGAGATGATGATGACGACGGAAATATCGATCTAGACTTAGATTTTACAAGGAAAAAGAAGAAGAAAAAGAAGCCTTTCTCTACTGAAGATCTCGATGCTGCTTTGCCAGAATTGAAGGATGAAGAAATTTTAGAAGGTAAACAATTATTCTAAATTTTGTTTTTTACTGAAATTTAAATGAATAATTTTTAGGTGGTAACCCTGAAGAAGGTGCTCCAGAAGATGACTTTGACATGGACTTGCTGGACTTTAGTAAATCTAAAAAGAAGAAAAAGAAGAAGACCAATTTGGATGAGTTAATTGCTGAAGCTGAGGAAAAATCAGAAGACAAAGAAAATGGTATGTCACTTTTAAATTTGTTTTCATTGTCAAATTTAATTTAATTGTTTTTTTAACATGCTGCAATTTAGTAGAGAGAGTTACTGAAACAGGTAAAATATTAATTTATATGTATATAAATTATTATTAATAATTAATTGTTAATTAGAACATTTTTCAGTCTTAAGACATTATAAACAATTTAATAGATCAGATATCAAATATTTTAATATATTTGTAATATTCATGAAATCAGTGGCAGCTGGTGGATTTTATGTATACCAATATCTCAGTTATTAGACATGGGACCCACACCAAATTTATAATAGTTTATAATGACATTAAATAAACAAGTTTGGCGCAAAAAGAATTGAAATTGAAGTTTGCGAAAAAAAAATTTAAATTGAAGTTTGCGAAAAAAAGTTAGTTTTTCCTGTTGCCTCACCCGCGTCCAGGCCCCCCTATTTGAGATAATTCAAATTAAAGTGGTGGAATTTATTATCTACTTTAATTTATCGACAAATTTAAAATTTTATTTAAAAAATCCAAATATTACAGATTTTATTCGATTTTAAATTTGTATTATTTATTTTATTGAAATAAAAAAATATTTAAAATGGTATAAAACCTGTAATATTTAGATTTTTTAAATAAAATTTTAAATTTGTCGATAAATTATAGTAGATAATAAATTGCACCACTTTAATTTGAATTATCTCAAATAGGGGGGCCTGGAGGCGGGTGAGGCAACAGGAAAAACTAACTTTTTTTCGCAAACTTCAATTTAAATTCTGTTTTCGCCGAACTTGTTTATTTAATGTCATTATAAACTATTATAAATCTGGTGTGGGTCCCATGTCTAATAACTGAGATATTGGTATACATAAAATCCACCAGCTGCCACTGCATGAAATATAAAAATATATATAGGGTGTTCGGAAAATGGCGGACCAGCGTTGGACCAGGTTATTGCAAGTATAAAAAAAATTGGACAAGGATTTAAAATTTGATTTTTTGTTATTGAAGTATTTAAATAAATTTTTAAGAATATTTATTTCTATTAAAGGATTAAACACAATTTTGTTAAATGTTAAAATTTGTTAATAAAACAAAGTTATAATGATTTAAAGTTTGGGGTTACTGTCTGTAACTATCAGCAAATACTGAGGGGCAATCAGGCTAAAAAAGTAATATTCATTACGTGTTACATAAAATTACAATGTAATACTTCCAATTACATAATATTCCACAGTATTACTTAATATTACTCTGTTTTATTAGAGGAATTAATTGCCATTGTATGTACTATTACTTGGTATTACATATAAAATGTAATAGATCACATCAAGTTTGTACATCCATTACACCAGTTGTTCCCCCTCGACAAATAGATTTGTTAACCATAATTAAGTCACTGTAGATGTGTGGTATATTTTGTTTGTTATGCATAACCAAATGTTTTTTAAACTTAAATACTTAATAACTTAAAAGTTACTTGTTGGAAAGATTTTTATAATTTTTTTAAACTTAAAATAAACCCTTCTGTAACGTGGTATACCGTTGGTCCGCCATTTTCCGGACACCCAAGTCAATTCACGTACGGTAGCCCAAACTAACTTAGGTTTTTTGTTAGCTTGGCTTCAAGGTTATTAATCTATGGCTTCAATGACGATTAACGTTTTTTATTTTTTCACAATCAATTTTAAAAACTTGATGACAGTATCGTTACCAGAAATCAAAATCCCGTAAATAGAAGAATTAGCTAGAAATATGTATGTTTAAAAATATATAAAGAAGATTATATCGTGTCAAGATCATTTATTACTGTAATTGCTAATTTAATAAAAATACATAAGGGGGAGGAGGTCAGACAATTGTGACAAGGGGGATATGCCTTCCCCTTGGCACAATTTGTCACAACTTGTCATTAACTATGTGGAGTAACTTTAAACTTATACAAATATTCATTCAAATTTGCGGATAAAATTTGAATTTGTGATGTAACTAGGCATAACCAGGGAGGTGGGTAGAAAAAGGTCGAAAATTGCGTACATAATATGTGCACATACCTCTTTTAAAATAAAAATTACTAAAATATTATGTATTGATTAAAGATTACATTCATAGATTATATATCCAACTTTATAAATACAATAATTATTATTGTAATATAACTGGACACTGAAACTACATTTTTCCAAAACTATAAAAGACTTCTATTAAATATACAGTAACCGGCAAGTAACAGGCAACCCTAGAGGACAGCCATACAAAAACTATCAGAATATTTTCCGATTGCGTTTCCGAAAATGGAACTCAAATTTAAGGGGCCATTCTGAAAAATTAATATTTTAAAAGTTATTTACTTATTTTCACGATTTTTTTTATTATCGTAGGAATACTAATCACATTAAAAACAACATAATTTTTTTTTCCGTTATTAACTTATTATTGCCAAATCTTTTGGTGGTTTCCAATTGTTAATAACAATTGAAGAGGTCGGGGCAATAAGGGACCTAATACTCATTACAAAAATTTAGTAGACAAGGTTTAAAGTTTTAATATATGGGTCATTATACTATTAAAGCTCTCTGCCATTTGTCAGTTGTCCCTAACAATTCTTATTAAAAATATAATAAATTTATTTATTTATAAAACCTGAGTTTCAATGTTAATAACAATTGAAGAGGTCGGGGCAATAAGGGACCTAATACTCATTACAAAAATTTAGTAGACAAGGTTTAAAGTTTTAATATATGGGTCATTATACTATTAAAGCTCTCTGCCATTTGTCAGTTGTCCCTAACTATTCTTATTAAAAATATAATAAATTGAGGCAGCTAATATGGAACTAGTTTTAATTATAATAACAAAAAGTAATGGAACATTTTTCAATTTAATATAAAAATAATTTTAATGTCTTAATTAAGGTTAAAATCGAATTATAAAACTAAAATAAAATAACAAATAAGTAGCTCCTAAGTACTATTAAAGAATGTGATAAAATGTCTGTCAATAATTTTTTAAGCATTGTCCTTATATTTAATGTCTACTTCGTCACAAACTGCCTAAATTAAAACAGCTTTGTAAAATACACTAAAGCTTAGCATTACATATAACTCTGTACCCATGTAGTTTATAACTATGGCAAGAGATGGCTTTCGTCATGGCATTTACTCGGTATGTATTTGCAGTATTTAATTTTTTTTTGTTTTTAAACCAATTTCTTTTTAATTAATGCAATGTTTTATGTGCACTTGGAAAATAGATTTTTTTATTGTGAAAAATGTTTTCTTCATCACATGTATATTTTGTCACTACACTGCCATCACTACAACATTAAAACTTAAAAATTAGAGACTCTTCCAGCGAAACTTTACTGCTGAGAGTTACATTAGAATTACCCATATACAAGGTGTCCCTAAACTTAGTGGCATAAATTTAGGAGCAGATTAAGCAAGTCAAAATAAGACAAAAATCTAAATAAATATTTTTCCTTATTAAGTATGTTTAAAAGATACAGGGTGATAAAGTGTTACTTATCATATCAGTTTTTTTAATATAACTTCTACTATGGTAGACTTGAAAAGGTGATATTTTGCGAACCGTCACTTACTACCATAAACTTTCTTAAGTTTATTGTGCCATACAAACTTTAAGTTTAGGTTTTTATACCATTTTATGCAATTTTTCGATTACTCAGTTCGGCTACTAATAAAAAGTTGTACCTCTCAAACTTCGATAAAATAAACCGTTTCCGAGATATTCGAGATTCAAAGTTTGTATGGGACAATAAGCTTAAAGCAACCCCCGTTTAGACGACACTGTGTTCACTCAAACAATTATAATTATGTGTGAATACGGCCACAAAACTGTTTTTATAAAAAAAAATTGTAGGTAATTTATTATATATTATTTTTGCATCAAAATTGTCAAATATATTCTTCTATTATTAGGCTATACATTAAATAAAAAAATCGCAAGCAATATTTTATAAAAGAAGAGATAATTTCAATAATTGACAGGGGTGGACGGGACAAGATAAATCTTTTTTTTGACCCGTTCACACCTTTCAATTATTAAAATTATATCTACTTTCATAAAATATTTCTTGCGTTTTTTTTTATTTAATGTATAACCTAATAAAAGAAGAATATTTTTGACAATTTTGATTCCAAAATATTATATAATAAATAATCTACAATTTTTTTTATAAAAACACTTTTGTAATTCGTGCGTTTCGCGCGCTTGAAATGGCCGAATATGTATTTTGGTAGTAAGTGACTGTTCGCAAAATATCACCTTTCCAAGACTACCATAGTAGAGGTTATATTAAAAAAAAACTGATATGATTAGTAACACTTTATCACCCTGTATCTTGGAAACATAAGTAATTAGGAAAAATATTTATTTGGGTTTTCGTCTTATTTTGACTTGTTCAATCTTTTCCTAAATTTATGCCAATAAGTTTTGGGACACATTGTATATTGTAATAAAAAAAATATATATCTTATAATAAAAAAAAACAATTTTTTAAACTTTTGTGTCCTTTAATTCAATCTAATGACAAAATAACAAATCTAAGGCTTATTGCCCCAACCTTTTCAAATGATACCGCAAAAATATCTATGAGAAAACAACTCATTGCACATTCAATTCCATTTGTGATAAATAACGTGACATTTTTTGGGTAATTTTGTCTGACCCATACGAGCATGAAAAATGCGTCAATAAACGAATAATGGTGCTTTTTGGAAACTTAATTTCCCAACGAATCCAGTGGTATATAATAAAGTGTCTTTATTATTACTTTAAGTGGCATATTAGTAAATTATGCACTATACCATTTCAAGAACACCTTAACACCAATAAGAACCGCTGAAATGTAGTGTAATTATTAGGGATGGGATATTTAGGTACTAAAAACTGAAAAATAGGTAACTAAAAAGGTACTAAAAAAAAACATTTTAGGTTAAAAAAACAGCATTTTAGGTAAAAAAAATCATTAAAGTTTAAGTTTCGTTTATTATTTTGTTTAGCCGCATACCCAAACACAGAACATACCCACAATAAACTATTTCTATGCAATAAACTGTGTTTTACTGAGTGACACTCACTACACAGAAGTTCTATGACAGAACATAAGCTCACTAGTACTGAGTAACTACAAAGAAGGTAACTGTAAAGAAAGTTACTGTTACAGTCTGTAACCATAAGAAAAAATTCTATACCGTTGAGTTGCACGCCCTGGATAAAATAATGGCGCAAATTTTAAAAAGAACAAAAATAATAAAATAAGTAAAAATACGTAAAAATAGGTAACAAATATGTGAAAATAAACTGACAAATTAAAAAATATGTAACAAAAGTATAAAAAGGTAGTTTAAAGCAAAAACCTCCAAAAAAGGTAAAAAAGGTGAAAAAAAGTTAAAGAAATAGGTAACAAAAGTATAAAAAAGGTAGTTAAAAGCAAAAACCTCCTAAAAAGGTAAAAAAGGTGAAAACAAGTTAGGTTCATATAAAAGAAAATCTTTTAAAACACATTTTGGCATTATTGGTTTTCAAATAGTTACATCGGTTAAAAAAAGGTAAAATAACTAAAATCCCATCCCTAGTAATTATACTTAAAATTAATATATAAATCGCAAAGACAACATTAACTAGTAAAATTTAATAATAATAATAAATGTGTTTTATAGTCGACGATAACTCAAATTCGTGGATGGGATCTGACAGAGACTACACCTACGACGAACTGCTAAATCGTGCCTTCGAAATTATGCGAGACAAAAACCCCGACATGGCGGCCGGCAAAAAACAGAAGTTCGTGATGAGACCGCCTCAGGTGGTGAAAATCGGCGCCAAGAAAACCTCGTTCGCCAATTTTACCGAAATCTGCAAGATGTTGCACAGGCAGCCCAAACATTTGTTGGACTTCTTGCTGGCCGAGTTGGGTACCAGCGGTTCCGTGGACGGCAACAGTCAGCTCATCATCAAGGGTAGATTCCAACAGAAACAAATTGAAAATGTATTGAGGAGGTAAGTCATTAACTCGTTTTATTTAGGTACATTTCTATATAAATTTTTACTACAGTTTAAAATTTTTATTACCATTTTGTACGTTTATTTAATTTTGAATAAAAAAGATTTTTTTACAAGGTGCGACAAGAGAAGTCGTTCCACGAAAATTTGTCAAATATGTGCGTTAATGCTATTTATGATATTTCATAAAATGTTTAATTTGAACATAATACCACCGAGTTTTTTACCTGTTTAAACTAATTTTCAAACTAGGCCCATCATATCCGGCTGTATGTAACCAATTACGTTTTGAATAGGGGCTTTGAGGTTCAAAAGTGGAAACTTTTGTTTTGTGTAGCCCCAAAGAAAGTAATTGTGTCAAATCACACTATATCGGCGGCCCATTGACGGGGTCAATTTTTGAAACGATCTTCATTTACGCTTTAAAAATTTTTTTGGGAAAACAAATACCCAATAATTAAAATAAAATAAATTAACTTAAAAAGTGAAGCAAACAGGCAAGTGATACTTTTATAGTTTCATATTTAAAACATTTTATAATTTCTAAAAATAATTGTCAAGTCAAAAGTTTAAAAAAAAATTTAATTTCATTAATTTAAAAAAAATACCCAAAATGGTGTGTTTAGGAATGTCGTTCTTGATATAAAAATAAATAGCGCACTTCCGAGAGTAAGAATGACAAGTATACCATGTTGCTAAAATAATCCTATGATTTTACGATTTTTCTTCGAAATTTATTGTTAAGTATTTAATTTTTTTAACACTGTTTCGGTAATTTATTTATATCTGCAGAATGCTTTGTACCGATTTTTTAACTGTCTACTTTATTTTATATTTATGCTAAGAACACAAATTTTGCTATTTTTTCAATAAGCAACAATTAGGTATTATAACAAATTAGGTTTGTAACTTCTCGGTCGATTTTATTGTTTATTTTTACGGATTATGAAAGCTTCCTTAATAACTAAGGTTTTGGTAAACAAAACAAAAATTAATTTCTGGATCTGCAGCCTTATAGGTACGCGTTACAACGAGAATTTTTTGTCTTCCGGCCGTTATAAAGTGAAACTTTTTTCATTTTGAAAGTTTGACACAATTTGCTAAGTGTTTCAGATTCTATTGGCACAATTTGTTACAGTAATAGTAAAATTTTTAATGAGGTCACAGAAGTTAAATAATTTAATACCCGCAAAATCAGTAAAAGCATACGAAAAATACTACTTCTATTCTAAATTCTATTCTAAACTACAAAGATACAACACACATAAACTTCAAAAAACAAACCAGCGCTTTTAGGAAATTTAAAGGGTTGATTGATATAAAAAAGTTACCAACTTTTTTTTCAAGACTCGTATGCAACTGGCAATAACCGATGTTTTGAAACGTCGCCTTGCGTATTGCCCTTAAAATTAAATACGTACACGTAAAAAAAAATCACAGCGGTAGCAACGCGTTGCTAAGAGACATTTTTTAAATTTTTAATAGTATATTATTAAATAAAATTTTATTCGAGATATAAACAATTATAGAACCCAAATCAATAAAAAACAATAGTTAATCGAAATAACAATAGACAAAAATTTAAATTCAAAATTTTTCCCAGTTGATTTGGTCTATTAAATAAAAAAAATAAAAAATATTCAAATTGATATTTTTATTTTAAAACTAAATTATTACAAACGTAATTTTAATATCTAGATTTCTTCACTCCAAGGTGAAGTTATTTCATTGTTAATAATTTTTAAATCTCAAAAAAATTATTATACCATATTTTCAGAAAAAAAATGATTACCGTAAATACGGGTGACTTTGCACCCCGCGGGTGACTTTAACCCATTTATGAAAAATCTTTTCGCGCTCGATAAAATTAACATTTATAATTTGTTGGTCTAAACCTGTCAATTGAGCGATTCTATTGAGTTTATATTACAGGAAAATCAGTGTTTTAAAAAAAGAAATGGGATTTATTACACTTAAAAATTGTATATATCGTATCAGTGCAAAACTCTAGAAATACACGCGTTAAAATTTCTATATTATGCGCAATCCATTGGAATGATGATCCTTGGTTAACTACAGGTCGATTCTTTATTTTTTTTTTTGGTAATCCCTTGCAATAGATATATGTCGCTGCTAACACGTGTCTAATAAAAATAAAATATAATATTACATTCATTTTATACTGAAAAAACACTGTGAGACAAAGTAACCCGCAACCAGGGGGTAACTTTGCACACCCAGTTTTTAATGTTTATTTTTGAAACTCAGCCCTATGTTATATTATAACATAGTTATTATGAAAGAGCAACTCAAGACTCAAATTTTGGTATACAAAATTTAATGTTTATGATTGTTAAAACCACAAAAATTTTAAGCTGAAGTTTGAAAGTGAGCCAAAGCCACCCGTGTTTACGGTATTTGTATTGACAAAACTTTATGTAGGCTGGATAAAAAAAACTACCACATTTTTAAATACCATATATAAATAATCCAAAATAAATTTTTCTAACCTTAAAATTACAAAATTAGATGATATTTTTGTTATAATATATTAACCTACCGTTAATACAGATATTCTTATTCCATAATAGAGAAGCTAGATTTTTTTAAATAAATGCTGTTTAGTTAAAATTATCTTATGGAGAAAACCAGATATTTGTCCAAATGCACAAAAATATTGCTTATTTGGCACCATACACTTTAGAATTTCATTAAATGCAGTATTTATATTCTTAAATACTTAAACCATCCATTGTTATAAAGATTTAAACATTTTTAACGCCTAAACATAATATTATTTCTTTCGTTGACTATACTTTGACAGATACATAACCTGAAAAGCCTTAAATGCCAAATTTTCAAAAGACTGCGTTCCGTACGTGGTCACGAGGTGGGACTTTGAGGTGTGGAGCATAGTGCGTATTGTTTTTAATTTAAAAAAATAAAAAAAGTTCCCAGTGTTATTTTATCTAAACGAAGCTTTTTAGGGGGCGTCGCAAAAAAATTAATTTTTAACGACCACCCTAGTATCTACTCCAATAAGATAATTACCTATCACAATGAATATCTGCCAATCACTGATGCCTAACAACGTGAATAATGATTTCATTATTCCTGTTAGGCAGGGAATTTATAATGTTTATCATTATTCTCAGGAATAACCCAATATTATGCAATGGGAGTAGATACAAACAATTATTTCATATTATTGGTATAAAATGAACAATATTAAAACTTTATTATGGGAAGTTCTTACATGGTAAATTAGGTATAAATACTAATTTAATAAATAAGTTCTTACCTAGTAAATTAGGTAGTTTTTTTAAATAATGTATTTTGTAACGATTTTGTAAGATTAGTGGAAATGTTAAATATATTGCTAAAAACAATATTAAATAAAATAAATAAATAAAGTTTTTATTGCATATTCAGTACAATACAGAACATATAATACAAAATATACAAAAGGCCATCGACCGGGGTCCTTTAGCCTGTTAAAAACTACTTTAAATGATACAAAAAAAAAACAATATTAATTAATATAATTATTCATTTTATTATACTTACTTAACATGTCAGACTGACAGTCGCCAATAACTCGTTTGCAGATGGACAGCACTTTTTTTATTGGTCGATTGTGTTTACATTTAGTTCGCGTTGGATACAAATACACTTTAGTTCTAAACATAAATATAATATTTACATAACGTAAATGTTTAAATAATAAAGAATTAGGTAGAAAAAATAGGCAAAATAATCTAAATAGCATATTTAGGTTGTTTGTTTTTCTGGATACAAGATTTAATGAAATATTTTTTTGTAGATACATTAAGGAATACGTCACCTGCCACACCTGCCGTTCGCCCGATACAATTCTGCAAAAAGACACCAGATTATTCTTCTTGCAGTGCGAGACATGTGGGTCTAGGTGTTCTGTTGCTAGTATTAAATCTGGTTTCCAGGTATGTCCAGCAAAAACTTATCGTGAAACAATTTTTTTAAATATTTTTTTCTTTTTAGGCCGTTACATCAAAACGTGCTGCTATTCGAGCAAAAACAGCTTAGTTGGTATGATAGCATTGCAATATGTTTATGTTATATGTAACAGCACTTAAATATATTTTGAAAAACTCGTGCTGACTTTAGGTGTTTTGTGAGAATCCATTTGTACCATAATTTTAGCTCAATTGTTAATAAACAATAACAGCAACATAACGTTTTATTTAGTTATATAATTTTATTAAACTATTATTTTATTTCATTAATTTTTACAGATGCACTTATATAGGGTCATATTTATAATAAATCTTTAAGCAGAATCACTTGCTTTGTTTCTTTTTTGGAAATACATGAAAACATACAAGATAATGGTGACAAAATATTTAATAAAAGTATTTATTATAAATATTATATTTAATAATAAATTAATTTATATATTTTTATTGGCATATCTAGCATACATTACTTAGATTAGATAATTTCTTGAGTGTGTCCACTGTTCCAGATCTATTTACTACTTTAAGAAGTATTCTGGTGAACCATGTAGATAACTTATTTACCCTGAAAAGTAAAAAATCGCATTTGATATTTATAGTACTATGAATATTATATAATGATACTTACAACAAAATAAATTCAAAGTAACATACTTTCGGAATGTTATAACATTTATTTATAAAACTGTTATCAGTTTGAAAAGCTGTCCTTGTGGCCATTCTTGCCAATACTGAGTACCTGTCTATTGGGTTTCCATGGTCTTGGGCTATGGCTCTAATGGTATTTAGGTTCCTATTACAAAAAAAACATTAAGGAAAATCTTTATTGAAAATATCCTATTACCTTATAACCAAAAGTAATGATCTTGGCATTTCTTTAAGACAGTCCATAATAATGTCAAATCTTTCTCTAGCGAATTCGGTCATTTTTTGCATGTCCTCTTCAGTAAGTTTTGCGTTAAGATTAAAACCGCGTGTTCTTAATGGAGCTTGTGTCAGTATTTCTGCTAATGCTTCATAGTCTGGAAATAATTATTATAAATAAATCATTTTTTTGTAAAAGGCAAACTTACTGTTAACTCCTAATTCATTTGCAAACTTTTTCATGTTAACATATTCTTTGTAAACTATTGCCTTCCACATATAACTCAATGATACTCTATCACTAGGTTTTACTTCTTGGTATAATCCATGGTCTAGTAATACTAACTCGGCTTTACCATCCTTTTTTCTTATTAAAACTGAAAATTAATGTTTAAAAAATTGTATATAATATTTGGTAAGGCTTCCTGAAGTGAACCCTGAATTTACCAAGGGTCAGAATTTTAAACATTTTGTTTTCAAAACAAAATTCCTATAGGAGATAACTTAACATAAATTTAATATAATATAAATATATTGCCTTGTTTATTTTTTATAAACAATCAAACTTTTTAGCAGTGCATTTAAAAAAAAATACTCTACAATGCGTTGTTTAAAGCCAATGATTTTTTTTTGAAAATTATTAATAAATTGTTCTACACTGCCCGTCAAAATTAACGCATAGTAAGTAAAACAATTTTAACTCTAAAACGCCTTTACCAATCTTTATAAAATTTTGTATAAAAATACTTCAACTTATATCTCAGCTTACGTGTTCGAGGGTTTTTCGAGAAAATATTTTTAAAAAATATAAATATAAAAAATATTCAAAAAATAACTTTTAGGGATTTTTTTAAGTAAATAAAAAATATGCTGATAAAGACCGTATTTTTGTTAGTGTTCGTTTGATTTGTACAAAATTTTTAGGGTATACTAACAAAAATACGGTCATTAACAGCATATTTTTTATTTACTTAAAAAAATTCCCCAAAAGTTATTTTTCGAACGTTTTTTTATTATTAAATAAAAGGGCTTTAAGGATATTTTTTCGAAAAACCCTTGAACGCGTAAACAGAGATATAAGTTGAAGTATTTTTATACAAAATTTCATAAAGATTGGTAAAGGCGTTTTAGAGTTAGAATTTTTTTACTTATTATGCGTTAATGTTGACGGGCAGTGTATAATACTTTATTTTTTTCGTTAAAAAATATTACAATAAACAATAAAAATTAAATTAAAAACAAATTAACTTGAAAATTATTTTTAAATGTAAGAAGTAGTGTCGGGTTTATATGATATTAAAATTTTAAAATAAAAAATTGGTTGCTTATTTATTTTGTTCGCTTTTCTCTTGCTTTCGTGGATTTTACGTTTTAAATTATTCAGTGAAGATATCCCAAGGGCAAAGAATGCCACAACAATATATTTTTAACTTAAAATTACTGAATTTTATTTATTAAAGGAATTTTATTTTAATATTTTTTTATTAATATCTATTTTAACGGTTTAGAAATATAAAAATAAATTTGTTAATTAATATTAATTAATTATATTATATTAATAATTATTAAGATTCAATCTTTAAGATTGTAATTTTTAACAAAAACTGTCAGAAAATTCATCTGTCAACCATGTTAACTTCAATCTAGCGGCTAGATGCCTTGTTTAATTTGTTTCCATTTTATCCTTCTTAGACCTTATCATGTTCTAATAGTGTTGCATAAATTTCTTAAATTGATTTTGAAGGGGTATTTTTTGCAAGTTTTTAAAATGAAAAAATTACAGAACCAAAATCTCTATAACTGGACATGTTTTTTTAAATCAATTCATATTGATTTTCGCACCAAAAAATGAATACCAAAATCATTCTGAAAAATTAAAATCTCGTTACTTGACAGCTTAAACTTCGTTTGATTGTTTATAAAAAATAAGAAACTAATAGGAACTTTGTTTTGAAAAAAATGTTATAAATTTTCGACCCTTGGTTAGGTAGATCTGATGGAAGTCAAATTTTTTTAAACCTAACCCGATTGGTCTGAACTAGGGCATAATCAATCACTTTAGTAACTAGTGTTGACAAAATTTTGTCAACGTTTAAATTATTAAACGATTAAAGATAAACGTTTTTTCATAATATTATGTTGTACTTACTGTTTCCTGGATGAGGGTCAGCATGTACAAATCCAGTCTGGAATATTTGATGTCCAAAAGCAGTGAACAGTTTATTATTGATGTCCTCTAAAGACAATCCATCCTTCTTTAACTTCTCGCCTTCGTTTATTTTTTCCCCGTCAATAAATTCAGTTACCAAAACTCTCTACAAGAAAAACTTATAAAATGTACCATATAATAACGTTGGCCTACCTTTTACCCTACTTGTGTAATTCCAGTAAACTTTGGGAATATGGATATACCTTAGATGTTTTAAATCGTTTGCACACCTTTCGGCGTTTTTGCCCTCTTGCATGAAGTCCAACTCTTGTTGCAAAGCTTGCGTAAGGTCCTCAAGTACCCATTCAAAGTTAAAATTTGGATGCATCACCCCTGCGATTTTTAATAAAAGATTTATAGTCCAAATGTCGCCTTTAAAACGTTCCTGTAGGTCTATGTATTGTACTTTAACGGCTACAGTCTGGTTTTCTTTTGTTTTTGCTTTGTAAACCTTTTAAGAAAATATATTTAAGTAATGTTTCCTCTAATTAAATATTCTTTGTACCTGAGCTATACTCGCCGCCGCGATAGGAGTTGTTTCAAACTCATTAAAAATTTCCTCGGGCGCTTTTCCGAAATCCGTCTGGAATATTTTTTGCAGCTCGTTTTTCTTTCTCACTAGACATTTGTCTTGAAGTGCTCGGAGCGTTTTAACGTACTCCGCGGGAATAATTTGACTCATGGACACTAATCCCTGACCTAATTTTATGTACGACCCTCCGTTCAGCAAGCAACCCTGCAAAATTCGGTCCGCTGCCCTTTGATGTATACGACTCATCATCGTTTTGTATTGGGGATCGCTCTCGTCGAGGCCCAATTGGCTGAAGTAGTAGTCTATTGATATTGTCATGCCGATCTTTAATGTGCTAAAAACAAACATTTTTGTTTTAATTTCCATTATTTATTTTTTGTTTTTTGCTATTTTGATTAAATATGTAGTAGAGGTAAACAAAAGCGCGTCTGTAAGTTTTTAGCTATCCCAATGTTTAAATAGTGAGAAACAAATAATTATTATAATTGTGCAGCGAAAAGACAAAACCAGATAAACAGGGTGTTCATTTTAAAACTTCCAAAACTTAATTTCTCTGAAACTAGAAGGTTTTTCAAAAAACGCCGATACACGTAAAATTTATATAGAGGGAGACAAGGAGCTACCCCCTTAAGAATTTGAATAGGGAAGGTGTATCATAATTTTAAAGATACATATTGGTATATTATTTTTAAAATCAATATATTAATTTTAAAGATATTTGAGAAAAAAACATTCTTAGGAGTTAAGCACAACATAAAAATGAATTTGTTTGGTTGTATTGTTTTTTAATATTATAAAAATTATAAAATACCGTTCAATATTATTTATATTATTATAGTTGTTTACTTGTCAAATTTTGTAAATGAATCTTTACGGGCGAGCTGGAAGTGAGCTTAGTAAAGATTAATTGCAAAGCGTGACACGTACAAACTTTTATTTTCACCTTTAGATAACGATTTTCAAATTTAAAATTTTAATTAATTTGTCAAATGTGTCTTTTCATTTCATAAATTGATTTTCTACAAGCCTGTAAAACTTTACAAGTCTTTTATACAAGCCCGAAAAATATTACAGGTCTGTTCCCATAATGTATCGTTTACTTTGATACAAAAACAACAAAATAAACCTATAAAATGTCACTTAATAAGAAGGTGGAAATAAAAAGTATTTAGGGCATAATAGAAATCATAAAATCCCTATACATCTGTGTTTTTTTAATCAGTCTGTTTATTTTTGAGATATTAAAAAAAAACATTCAGTCCAACACAATGTACATTTTTTTGTGTAAAAAAGCAACCTAAACAATTCATTCTTAATATTTTTCATTAGTTATATTTTTATTAAGTTATGAGAAATTAATTATAACTACAATTTTTTGTAATGAATTAATAGTAAAAGAAAAAGAAAAGGTTTTATTTTATTCAAAAATATTTTTATTTTAAGTAAGTTTAATTAAAATAAATTGTTATATAATTATTAAATATTATTATTAATATGAATGGATCGTAAGATTACATTTTTTATAAATATTAATTTTCAAGGACTTATTATTTTAAATAAATTAATTAATGGACAAGAAAATTATTAGCAATAACTATATGACCATATATATTAATATCAGGGTTATTTTTATTTAATATATCCAATGCAGTTCAAGATAAAAAGATAAAATTTTGGAAATTATTCAAACTTTTTATGCCAAATAAGATGTAATAATAACAATTTTAAATTTTTCATGAGGGGTGGGTCAGATAGATGGGAAGTATGGTTAAAACCACCCAAACTCTTTACGTGTCTTGTCCCACGATGATGTCAGATTATTTTATTTTGGAGGTTTACACACCAAAAAGGTCCTCTTGTTGAACTTCGATAATATTTACTATTTTCGCTTAAAATCGATTTTAAAATTACCTTACATGGCATAAAAAATCATAATGAAATCACAACTGGAGAAAAAGATTCAGCTTGGGCATGGAACACGGTTGCCATGTTTAGGAAAAATTATTCAAGACAGGTGACATTTTATGCAATGTAATAGGGAGTTAGATTAATTCTCAAAATTTAATTTTTCTATCTTTTGGAGATATTAAATAAAAACCATTACTCTTTTGGGGAACTTTTCCTATTTTTGCACGTAGAATCTGGTGTTAAAGTATTGCACCCTGTATTTAGAGCCAAGGATAATAAAATAAATAGTAATGAGAAATTAAAAAAAAAATAGATTTGAATAAGAAGCTCATAAGAAACTTATTTAAATAAAAAATAATAACTAACTTTTACATCCTTAAGTGATTGTATAATTTTTCAAACATTATTATAATATTTTGAGCGACGTCCATTCGACAGTCCATTTGCTAGGTAGGACATCTATAGACATGCGCATTTTAAAATTTGGCTGCACAAACAGCTATTGTTTGCAAAAATGGCGAATGCGCCGGGAGTAAACCTAAATTAAATATAGTAAAAAGTAGGTATAATTGACAAAATTAAATTAAAAATAAAGGCGTTAGATTCGTTAAGGCAATAAATAATAAAATTACGAACGATTAAAAAATACAATTAATATTATTTAAAATTTTGGAGGAAAATATACAGTGTCCGTTTTCAGAGGCTACGCATGGGTAGTTGGTTAAATTAGGAAAAAGTTGCACATAAGTATTACTTTGCGCATGCGAGTAGAAAAAGATAATTTAGACTTCCTAGTCTGTAAAAAAAACCGTTTGGACCAATAAAAAAATCGACTACTGTCAGATCTAATCTAACTTTACTTTCTACTTTTCATAATTATTTTAATTGTACGTTTTATGTATTGTCAAACAAATAAAATTATGCCTAGGAAATAAAATGCATGCCATGCGGCTGAGAAGGGTCTTTTTATGCTTCGCTCAATTAAACTTTGAGCTTAGCACAAAAAGACTTAGGTACTTCTCAACCTTATGACATAAATAACCAATAAATATAGTTTGAGTACTTTTTAAACTTTTTCTTTTAAAGCCCCCAAAAAAGTCATAGATCCGCGCTCCACAACGGTAAAAATTGATAAGAATACATATTTGATTTGTATAAATTAATATTAACTAACCACTTTACCCAAATAAGTACTTATAAGGTTTTTAATTATTTAAAATTTGACCTGATCCCTACTATAGGTAATGTAGATACAGTCAAGTACATATTAAACAATATTTACGTAATATTATTTGGCTTAATAATTTTGACTTTGAGTGTATGTCATCACTTGTTGATTGGAAGATTAAGTAACTACTTAAATAAATCTTACCGTAAAAACCTAATAGCACCATCCACATTGAAAAACGCATTTTGTATAATTTTTCTGTCATCTGGAATAATTGGTGTAAGAGCAAAAGTGGCATAACATCCTGTTCCAATGGCAGTCAGCTTGGCCAAATTCTTTTTTCTTCTTATGTCCCCCTCTTGACACCAATACCTGAAACGGTTGAAAAGTCTACCCCTTATCATTGTTGATAACCTGCAAACGACACAAAAATATTAAGCACTGTAAACATTTTCGACGCAAATCAACACTGAGATGCGCAAGTCAAAATGCATTTAAAGCGCGACAAGAAAGCGAATAGCGCAAAGGCAATGCGTGGAAAAGAGAAGAGCATAATCACAGTGATTTCCCCATGCCCGCAAACGCACCAGCTGTACAGCGTGCCCTTCGAATAGAAGTTTAGTTTATTCAGCGCCTGCACTGGGCTGAATGCTGAAGTGTCCTCTGAAGTTTGACAAATTTTGTGTTTTTCGACCCCTGTAGCCGATCTGCTTCTCAATTAATAACTTTTAAGCAAGGTAAGAACTCTTTTTTTATTGTTGTCATTAAATTGACGTTTTATACAACATTGAGAAAATTAAAGCTCGCAATCAGCTGATTATATTATTAAACAATATTAAAGCACAATGGAACAACGGTAATAATCAAATCCCTTATTATTAAATATATTTGAAGCAGTTATAAGGAGCGATAAAAAACTATAGGTACTTAGTTTGTTTGTATTGCCAGCAAAGTTTCTTTGTTCTTTTCAAACTTACAATTTGAAACCAGCGGCACTGGATCGATGATGCAATACTGCAGGTTAAAAAAGGACGGAGCTTCGATTTAGTTCCGTGATATTCTGCTTCGAACAAAGAAAGATTCTGATGCGTGCGCACAAAAATCGTAACGTTCGTGTAGTTTTACTGGGACTTGGTAGACTGCCTGGCATTATACGTAGAAATGTTATCTATTTTTGTTAAAACATTACCGTTGTATAACAATTGTTTGTAATTATCGAAAATTTTCAGGAGTATGGGTAGTAGCGGTGGGCCACAATTTGACCTAATAAAAACCAAAACAAAAATAGATTGTAACCAATCCTATTTTTTTTAGTTTAACGTTAATCGAATTTAGCAGGAGTTAATGATTAAAATGGTTTGCTATTTATTATACATATTTGCTAATGCAAAGGATTTCGAAATTGAGCGGGTACGTTCACCTCGATGGCCATTGTCAATATTACAGTTGAGCGTTAAAAACAGATCAATATCATAAATGTATACAGTGTTCTCGAATATTTTTGACACCCTTTGTTTGTTTTTCGTAAGGTTTTAGCATATCAAAGGTTTAAAGACATTAAGATTTAGCAGGCTAAATTAATTCAAAAAATAGGTTTGGTATTTTGGGGTTTTGAAAAATCATAAATTATATTTTTTTATGGGAAATAAAAAATATCAATACCTTGAATAATAATCCTATTAGGGCCTTGACCCACCACCCTACTAAGTCTTTTAAGTGCAATGCCACCGTGTACATCATATTTATATTAACATGTTCAAGGAAATGTTAAAATGTAATTTCCATGAATTAAAAATAAAATTGCATTAGAAAAGGTGTAGAATAAATTAAGGAAATTTAATAACTACCTACTTTGTTAATGAGGTATAGTATATTTCATATTTCAAATCCAGAAAATAGTTTTTTTCTTCTTCCACCTTTAAAACGACCATTATCGTACTTTTAAATACACAATGGACAAGTTGTGGCTTTATGGCGTTTTAGTCACGGGTTTAACTTACTTTTAAGTTAGTTGAGAGTTTGTCAAATGTTAAACAATCGTTAAAATAAAGTGCCCTTCTTTTATTATTATTTTATTATCTCAATACAAAAGTATTAAATAGTTTCTCAACGCCAATATTTTAAAAGTTTATATAAACATTGATTTCGCGGGCAGTAAACTAGATTTAACTTTAAAAAATTGGGTGCAGACCATAGTCATGGTGCACCGTGGAGTTTGTTTCACTTTCTTTGTGATAATATCAAATTTTGACCTTCGCGCCGGTAATGATTTCCAATTTAGAATGGTCACTCTATCGTTTTATAGATGTCGCTCTATACAACCATTTAATTTAAATCATTTTTTGATAATAAGTATTCGTCGTCAAAAGTAGCAACTCGTTTATAAACTTTTCTAGACACTCATTAAATTAAACATTTGCTCGCATAAAATGGCGTTTATCTTAACTTAATACATAATATAAAATATCTTTAATTTAAGCTTTATTATTATCAACTCTTACTACCAAAGTATTTGATTATCTCCTAGGATGTAAAAAACCCGTTAGTACCAATAAAAAAATTCGATAACTGATGACAGCTCTGAGCTGTCTAACCTTACTTTATACTTTCAATAATTGTTAGTTCATTTTATGTATCGTTTAACAAATAAAACTGCTTCGCTCAATTGTATAGGCCTCCGCTATCGCTGATGCATTCAAACTGAGCTCAGAACAAAAATACTCACTTCTCAGCCTTATGACATAAATAACTATTTGAAATCGGTCTATAATTTAAACTTTATAATTGTTAACACTTACTACTAGAGTAATTGATTATCGTCTGGGCTGTAAATTCTAAAAACTATTGTAATTTTGCATCGTTTAACAAATAAAATTGTGCCTTAGAGATACAATTTAAGCTCAGCACAAAAAGACTCACGTCTTAGCCCTATGACAAAAATAACTATTTCCTATGTTAGCACAATCATAACCTCTAAGGGTGTTTAAAAAATACATTTTTTAAAATACCACATAATTGTTATTGTATTAAATTGAATTGATATATTATTACACTAGAGATAATGCACGAGGATGAGGTTTGCATCTCGAGTCACCAAACGAATTTAAAACACGATTGGTTCATATCCAGAGATGGAAAATGCTCGAGCATTTATTTTTGGAGAACGCAAATTGAGCATAAACGAGAATAAACGAGCATAAACGAGCAAAAACGAGAAATTCCCGAGAATTTATTAATAGCATAGTCGAATTAGGACATTGCACGTTTTTTCTAAATATTCTCAAAAAGATTCTTAATTTTCTTAATATTCTCGAGAAGATTCTCAATTTTCCCAATATTCTCGAGAAGATTCTCAATATTCTCGAAAAGATTCTCAATTTTCTCAATATTCTCGAGAAGATTCTCAATTTTCTCAATATTCTGGAGAAGATTACCTTTTTTCTGGGCATTAAAATCTTTTCTTTATAAAAAAACTTTTAAATTTAAATGGTTTAATCGAACAGATACATAAAAAACATATAATTAACAAAAATATCACTTTGAAAAAATAATACCTACACTGAGAAAAAAATGGGACAAATAAACTGTGAGGCTAATACTTTTTATTAATGAGTATGAGTATAAGAGACGTATAACCAGCCCCATTTCATCATCACTCCCGGACCCCGTACAGGCCTATGTTTACTTACGCCGATTTTTGTTCGCCCCCAGCAACTACACGGCTTCACCCGTGTTTGCTGGGTGCGAATGTCCATTGCGTTCCGTACTGTCCCCTATTTGGGGCTCGAGAGCGACATGCGAATAGTTTTAATAGCCATTCTCGGGTTCGCCGAGCCGATGCTATACGCCCAGTAGGGTATAGGAGGAGGGACGGGAGGGTGTTGGTTTTTGGGGGACAATTACGCCGACTTAAAACTAAGTACGACGCGGAATCCCCCTAGACCAGTCGATTAGTATTACTCCAAACATTTGGGATTACTATTTGGAGTTGGGGAGTTGTTATTTCGCTGCAGGGGTGTAGTTTCCTAGTCGAGGTCTTCGTCTTGTTCGTTATTGTCATTGTCCGTGTCCTGGTCAGATAGTTCCTGCACTTAGTAAAGTGTGTCAGTTGTTATTTTTTCTATTTTATTTTTATTGTTGCTTAGTTGCTCCCAACTGGTCTTGTTAATTTGTGAGAAGTGCATGTTTTGTGCTAACGTGTCATGATATGTGAAGCATGGTCTCCCGACTTTTTTGTCTGTAAGGTCTAGTTTAAGGGTGGCTTGTAGTATGTTGTTGCGTTGCCTACGAGTGACGTGGGCCAAGTATTTTAATTGGGCTACTCTTACTCTTTTGGTAATGGATTTGCCCCTTAGCAGGTCGCGGGTATGTTGGTGATGGTAGTCTTCCGTTCAAGTTTGCGTAAATTTTGTCCCAAGGACGTTTTGTGGTAGAGTTTTGTCTTTTTTTCTTAAATTCCAAAATTAAGTATTGCATTTATTTATTAGTTAAACAAATGACAAGCGCATTTATTCTGTTATCTAATGTTTACAAATCCAGTAGAGTTTGGTTATTATGATTTTTTTTACTATGTTAGGGTTATAATGATTAATGTGTTAGTTTATTCTGTGAGTCTAGTATTTATTTTCGGTCTCGTTTGGGTTTGCATTAGGCATTTGTTGTTGACAGATTTATTGTCCTACGCCTGTGCCTTTCTTAGGGATAAAGATATCTGCCGTGTTTAATTTGCAGATTTTGTATTAGGTCATGCATATTCTTAAGGTAACTTATCAATTTTTTTGCGGATGGCCACCTCCCCTCTTGTTTGACCTCCTTTGTTTGTCCAGTGAAAAGCGTCCAAAGACAGGTGGCACTTAACTCATTCATATCACTTAACACTTCACCGTTACACCATTTTAGTTTGCACTCTAGGAAAATTGTTTGTTTCACTATAATTGGTTTGCACTTTTTAAAAATTATTGTTGGTTTTAATCTTTAAACTTTTACGTTTTAAGAGATTACACTTACGCGTGGTACCTTCTCAACCTGACTGTGTAGCTAATACTTTCTATTAATAATGAATATATTGTTTCTTATGTACCTCTATATAGTCGAAATAATAACGATAAATTAAATTTAGTAAACTTACTAAAGATTATTATTTTGACTATTTAGAGGTAATAAACAATAAATTTACTATTAATAAAAAGTATTAGCTACACAGTTTATTTCTCCCAATTTTTATCAGTGTATAACTAAAAATGTACCCAAACTGCGGTATATAATATATATTATTAAACCGGTAAACAAAACAAAATATTTTTATTCAAGAGCTTAGAATCTAATCCAATACATCTTCATTTTCTAATAGATCCTCAAAGTTTTCAGAACCATCAGACGTGTCATGAAGACTTATATCTTTATCTGTTTCGTCA